ACTTGCGGTATTGGAGCTTTGCGATCTTCCATTGCTCTCGGCGAGGTCTGTTCGGGATATCTTCACTTTCTCGCGGTAAGCTTATAGAAATGAACGAACGATTCTAAGCCGTTCTAGGAAGCTGCGGACTCTGCGTTTTTTGGCTGGGTGCCCGCAGTTGAATGACAAGGCTTTCCCGCTTTGGGGGCGTTTTGGGCACCGGAGCCGGTGACGTATAGCAACAACCTGGACAAGCCACTTCCTCCGCGTCCGAGCAGCTGGCTGGACGTACTACCGCCGCTGGTGTTGCGTCATAGGGCGGACAATCTGCGGATATTGGATTTGTCCTTCCTCACGGGCATCACTGATGCAGCAATCGAAGGCATCGTGCATTTCGCACCCAAGATACAACATTTGCAACTGTCAGGTTGCAAGCAACTCACAGACAGGGCACTCGAAAGCATATGCAGGCTCGGAGCTCATTTGGATGTACTTATTCTTGGCCACATCGGCGGTACACCGACCGGGGAATAGTGTCGCTGGCGCGGTCTTGCACAAACCTTCGGTGTGTCGACCTCGGTTGTGAGTCAACTCATGAAGCTTCTGCCACCGAGAGATTAAAATTCTTCTCATTCAGTTTGTAGAAATCTCACAGACATGTCTGTGTTTTGTTTGGCGGAACTTGGCAGCATCCGCCGTCTCAGCCTAGTAAGGCTACACCGACTGACCGATATCGCTGTGTTTTCTCTGGCAGAGCATGCGTTGGATCTGGAGAGGCTCAACCTCTCCTACTGTGACCGGTTGACCGTGCAGGCCGTGCACCTGCTCACGAAGCGGCTATTGAAGTTACAGCATCTCTCAGCGACCGGGATCCCTTCTCTGATCGATCGCCCCGGGCTCCACCGCTTCTCGGATGCATGCCCCCCGGTGCGCATTTTCCACTTGCGCGATGTGTTCCTGAGGCTCATAGACCGGGCAGGAATATGACGATGATCGAAAGCAGCATTTCGTGTCTTCAATGGGGAAGGCATTTCTGGATTTCGCAATTTCCTTAATAAGGAAGATGATCGCCGCCGAGAGTCCGAGCGACGGAATATACCCTTCGCCCCTCGCTCCGACGATGCGTTGGATTTGTATTAGGCCATTAGAAATAATAGGTTATCTAATCTGCGTGTATACAGTATCACTTACATGTCTGTTCTGGCCCCAAAAAGGCAGGAGGATCCATCACGAACGGTCCGAGGCATTGTTGGCGGTCTTAACCCACGATGACAACCGGAATGTGGAGGAGACACAGGCCCGTCTCACCCTGACCCATTCTGACACCGACGACATAAAAGCGCACAAGGGTGGGACCTGTCAAGCTTTCAAGGACGGCCCCTATATGGCTCCGGGGCGAAACTTGTAAAAGTCAACCCCTTGTTCTCGCGCCGCGCTCGTTTCATTGGCATCGCCTATCTCTCTCATGCACTCGTCTTTTCGCGAACGACGTATGCGCCATCCCGCTCCAGAGAGGCTCACTATCTCTGGCTTCCTTCCTTTGCCTCCTATCACAGCGTCGCCGGTGTGCACTCCCACAAGCACGTTGAGCCTGGGCGAAGTCCTCGCAGTGGGCACCCCACACACCGCCGCTCCGCATTTCGTGGCCGAGGGCGGGTCGTTACGCGTTCTACCCACTTGGATCTCGACACCACCGACTCCGCCTCCCAGGCACATCAGACGCTCAGTGACATGTATCGTCCGACGGCCGCCACAATCTCCTCCAGTCCTCCCACCCTCTGCTTCCGTGCCTCTATCGTCAGGTCCCATCCGTCACATCCCTTCCATACGGCCTCGTGCCCGCTCGGACCCTCAACTGCGTCGTGTGTCGGGCGAGTTTGGCTGCCGGTCAGATGTATCAGATATCAGCAGCGGGCTAGATTGGCATGTGGAGAAGGCCAGGGATGATGTTCGGAGGTATCACGCCCTCATGGAGCTGCTGTCGTCGGAAGTCAGATACTTGGAGGACTTACGGGCTTTACTTTGTGTACGTATTCGTGCTTCGATCCTTCTCTCCCACTAACCCGAAGATGTAGATATATCTGAACGGCCTGCCCACACTCTGTCGCACCTCGTCAACGGGTGCGTTCGGCCGCACATCGCGCAACAATTCATACACGCATCTTCCGAAAGCCAACGGCTTCTCGGAGCCAGGTCTCCATCCCCTCACCTCAATTCAGACTTCGCCGAGCAAGCAGCCGAAGGCGTATCGTCCCTTGTTTGCCGATTGGGAAATCAAGTTGCTCACACGGAACGCGAAGGAAGTCTTGCGTCTCCACGAGAACTTTGTCGCCGAATTGCGCGAGACGATATCTCCGATCGGATTTGTCATGGAGGAGGAGCCTTCGCCGGATCAGTTCGAGATGAAGATGCGCATCCGAAACATCGATGCAGTAGTGGGCATGGTCTCAGCCAAATTTGCTACAGAGGCGAGTCCCTTGCCGATCTTTTCGGGGAAGTTCCTGACCAGATCTAGGCCTCACGTTTTGACGCATACCAGTCATTTTGCACTGGACATCCAGAAGCATTGCAAGTTGCGCAAAGAGCTCAGAGCCAATATCCAGCGGAATGGGATGCTTTCGAACAACAATGCGCTGCTGCTATCGCTGACGAACCGCTCCATCGAGCCCCTTCGTCCACTCGATCCTGCAGCCCTAGCGAAGAACGTCCGCAACCTCGCTCGAGAAGATCATCTATCGCGTCACTTGACGGTGCTCTCCGGCAGACGCGGGCGCGCACAAATTCGAAGGAGAGCGCAACCAAAGAAAAGTCACGTCGCTTGCTCTTCCAGGATTACTTGATCAAGCCGGTGCAACGAATCTGTCGCTATCCACTACTCCTGGATCAGCTCGGACCGAGCAAGAAGATGCGCCGAATCTCGCGGCCATCTTCGTCTCGGCCGCCCGTCGAAGTTGTCGTGGAGAGTGCGGCCCAGGCTATGCGACATGTTGCTAGTGCTGTGGACGAAGCACGACATCGACAAGCAGTGAAATGCAGTCCTCACTGATCGCATCGCGCATTGCGGTTGCGCATCCTTCTCATGCAATATCGCATATGGCATCGTCATCCGTGTTTCCTCCCTTCCAGATTCTCACTCCCAGCTTTCTCTCTTCGCTTGGCACGTGCCTACTCGCTGGCTCTCTCGATGTGATGCACTATCACTCTTCCAAGCGGCAGAACAGCGGACCGAACATCAATGCAAAATATCTTGGTGCATTTTTGTATCTTGGAGGATATCTTATCCTGGTCAAAGTGATCAAGGGCAAGGTCTACGAGCCCAGACATTGGTTTTCGCTGGTAGATTTCGAAGTGGTGGATTTGGAAGAGGAAGATAGTGCGTCTACTGTTTCTCGCTAGCGGCTTGTGCTGATTTCCTGAATCGCAGCGTCCCTGCCGTGCACTTTCAGCCTCACATGCGAGGGCAACCAATTTGATCTGACCGCTGCATGTCAGAGAGAAAAGGATGCTTGGCTGAGTTCTATCCGAGAATCGAAGCTGCACCCTCCTGCTTGGATCAACGAGCCTACGTCGAGCATCCATCTCGACTGCAAAGGCGAATTCATTGCCTCGACACTCGATGGCCCATTCGAGATCATCAACGCACTGCCCACCATTCAGTCTCTCCCGGAATTGTCGAAAGAGGATGGGTTCCCGGATCTTGCTGCATCGGTCTTTGCGGCCTTTGAACAAAGCCAAGCTGAAGGCCAGGCCGCGAGAACGGGGATAACAGCGAAGAACGAGCCAATCACGAGCCGAAGATCATCGACGGCTTCCGTCAGGGCCATTTTTTCTGCCAGCTCTGAACCGGATACAATCGTCATTAGACGATCGTCTCCTGCAGCCAGGGCTCAGGTCGACTTGGCTCTGCACGACGTCATCTCGGAGCCCATTCTGGCAGCAAGGTGCACCCGAGATGAGCTCTTCCAGGCTCCCAAAATCCTGCGCAGCTCGTTTACCCGCTCCAACTCTGCGTTGAGTTTGACTGGGCTGACGAAGAATCGGCTGTCCCGACACGAGAGCGTGCGAGTGCCCAGGCGGAAGAGCCAGTCAACGGACGAAGGTGGCAAATCACCGTCGCGACCGACATCGCTGAGGTTGAAATCAGTGAAACGTCGACCGAAACGATTGAGCATCGTCTCTGCCTCGGAAGCGGAGAGTCTGTTCCAGACCTCTGATCCCTCGACCGTCTCGCCGTTCTCGCAGTGCTCGTCTCTGACCTCCAGCCTGACCAGCCCCACGCTTGAGACGCCGCCGTCGCCCGTCAAGCCAGCAGCCCCGGTAGAGTACTACATGACTCTGACCCAAGGCATCCTCCGCCGACTAGGCAAGTCGACCCGGCATCGGAGAACGCGGAGTGCGCCGCATGACCAGAACCAGTCCCCGGTTCTGCCCGAGATGGATTTCGGGGCAGCGTTGTCTGCTGAGGTGGAGCCGCGTGCTGCGAGTCCGGTTGTGGCTACGGCGGAGGCTCCGCGGCGTACTCGGTTTCTTTCGTCTGAAACACCCAACACTGACCCTCGGCCGACGAGTAAACGGAGTTCCATATTCCGTCGGCTGAGATAATTTTTCTGTGTGGATACACGTTCATTTATTCATTGCATTCATTAACCATGCCACTCTTTATACCGCAGCAACTAGTCGATACCCATCATTTCTTGTATGTACATAGTATATTTGCGGTTGGTAGAAAAAAAGATCAATCCGGAACGAATTGGTGGGACCCCCTCAAGCATCACGTGGAATATCTCCGCTTCAGCGGAAGGTTTGCACGTGATAAATACAGGGCGAGAGATTGCAAGATTGAGGCTACCTGTTCAAATTCACGCACTCACGAAGAAGGCGGAGAAAGACGTGCATGCTGTCCGATAGCGTGTTCGCGTCTATGTAGTCTCGCAAACTCCCTGGTATCTAGTTACTTGGCGTACTAGTGCATAAGCCAGCATGAATGTACTACTACTGGGTACTTGTTTGTCCTAAAACAAGTCAAGTTCACTCCTTAGTGCTAGTGTGAACCTATCCTCTAAATCCCCCTACTGAGGCCTCAAACCACAAGTTCCGACACTGAGGAATCAATGGTGGACCCATTGGCGCAGTAGAGATATCCGTAGATCTCCCGCAGCGCATCGGTAGAGAACCCGAACTGCACGCCTCTCATTCAAATCCAGTACGAGTGTGGCCTAAAACGATCTGGGCACAGCCCTCCATCATCGCCGTATTCATGATGAGCACACTGTATGCGTTCTTGATGGAAGCCAGACGTAGTTCAATTATCTTGCATTATAACATCTAAGAGAGTATCGTGAAACGTCTAAAATACATCATCACACATCATCATCATAAAGATTACACATATCACTCCTCAGTCGCCCGCGCCGTAGCCGCGAGCCGGATATCCTCGAGCGAGATCGACGAGTGCTCCGCCATGCCGCGGAAGATGCCGTGCGGCAGCTGGTACAGGCGCTCGGGGGTGTCGAATTCCGCGATGTGCCCCGCGTCCATGACGCAGATACGGTCGTACGAGATGATCGTCGCCAGCCGGTGCGCGATGCACAGGATCGTGCGGTCGCGGAACTCCTCCGCGATCGTCGACTGGATGTTCCGGTCCGTCTCGTAGTCGACGCTCGCGGTCGCTTCGTCCAGAACGAGAATCTTTGCGTCCTTGACCAGGGCACGTGCGAGCGAAACTAGCGAGCGCTGCAGGGGGAGGGAGAAATGAGCGACAGTTCCGGGATACCCATGTGCCACGACGTACCTGGCCCACAGACAGATTCTGCCCCTCGTCTTCGATGATCGTGTCCAGCGTGAACTTCGCTGGCCCGTCCTCGCCCTCGCTCGTGGCTTGCTTGCTGTTCTCGAGCAGATACGAGCGGCGCATGGCGTCATACAGAGTGGCGTCGTCGTGCAGGTTGAACGGATCGAGGTTCGACCGCATCGTGCCAGAGAACAGCAGCGGCTCTTGAGGGATGATGGCCAGTCCGTTTCGCACGTCGCCGAGTCCCACTTTTGAGATGTCAACACCGTCGATGACAATCGAGCCGGACGTGAGCTCGACCAGACGGAAGAGAGCGGTCTGAATGAGAGTGTAAGCTAAAAACAAGATCACTATAAGCATGCACAGACCATGATCGAACTCTTTCCAGCACCAGTTCTGGGTCGAGTTCAGTACAGGTCGCATTCGACACAACAAGACTCGCACCGTCCCACAATACCGATCTTTTCACCTGCTTTGACGTGCATAGAGATGCCCTTGATCACAGCAGGTAGCTCAGGCCTATACTTGAACACTATCTCGTTCATCTGGATCTCTCCTTTTGACGGCCATGGCGCCGCAGGCTTGGTCTCGGGGATCTCGTTCGCAGCCTCTTGCTCGACGGATTCCGCGTAGTGCACCACCCGCTCCACAGAGTTCATGTCGTTCTCGACCTCCGCGCTCTGGCGCACCATCCATCCGAAGGCCTGCTGGACGGTCAGGATGTACGAGAGGATGACACCGCTTTGGGCCGGCGAGATGGTGAAGCGCGTCCCGACGGCGAGCATGGCAACGATGAAACTGAGGGAGCAGCCCAGGAAATCCAAGCGCACTCCCAGCCAGCGCTGGTTAGTCACAGTCAGCCAGTACGCGCTGATGGCCGTGTGTGAGTATCACAGTCCGAGACAACAGACAGGCTGCTCACCGGTTCTCCGTATCGACTAGTCGCTCGTTGTCTGACAGGAAGCGATCTGAGACTCCGTACGCTCGGATGGTCGCCATTCCCGACAGACTTTCGCTGAAATGGGTGTACAGCGAAGACCGCAGCAATGCATCTGGAGACAAGCGTCAACCAAGATAATCGAGACAAAACTAAGCAAACGCACCCAATCGCTTAATCTCGCGAGCACTGGATCGATAGTACAGCGCAAAGTAAAAGTACCCGGCCAAGATGCAGAACACGGCGATGAGGAACCAAGGGATGATGATCCCGATGAGGATGATGGCTCCGATGATGTTGGCCATAGTCGCGAAGAACATACGCAGCGCCTCGCCTAGTGTACTGTCGATGGTGTCGCAATCCTTGGTAAAGCGATGCATGATCCGTCCCAGAGGCGTGGTGTCGAAGAACGACATCGGCTGCAAACAGATCAGTGTCGGTCACAGCGGATATTCAGGGCGACTTACAGCATTCATCACACGCGCAAGCGCACTCTTGTGCAGATTCTGCGACGCGTAGTACGTGAGCAGCGCGAAACTACTGCCCATGAAGAAGAACGTGATCGCTTGCGAAACACCAAGGACGGCGTAGATGGCCATCTGGAAGCATCCGATAAGCAATCGTTGAGAGAATGGGAAAATGACGAACGTAGAACCCTTGCGGACGCGGCCACTTCCTTTCCTGCCAATACACCAGCCAGTAGGAGCTCATCACATTGGATCCTTGCAGGAACACCAGAGACAGGAACAGCAGCGGCACGATGTACTTGCCGTTCCCGGCCTGGATGTACGTCTTGTAAACATGCATCGAGATCGCACCGATGTTGCGTTCCTCCGCCTGCATCAGAGCAGGGCCGGGCGTGATCTTTCTCACGGGACCGACTTGCGCAACCGCCGGGTCGGCTGCATCCTCCACCGCTTCCTCGTCTTTGGTCTGCTGGTCCTGCGACCCAAACTCGGCGACAAAGCGCGAGAACTCTCCGTTCTTCGTGATCAGCTCGTCATAGGTACCCCTGTGCTTATCTTGGTCAGCGTCGTTCCCCGGGGCGAGATTCAGATTGCACTCGCCTCTCCGCAATTTTGCCGTCGGCGAGGGTGATGATGTAATCGACATACGGCAGGAAGTGCAGCGCATGCGTCACGAGGATCCGGGTCTTGCCCTGCAGTGTGTTTTGCAGGACGTTATGGAAGACAAGCTTCCCGACGTGTGCATCGAGAGCACTAAGAGGGTCGTCGAAGATCTGGATCGCCGTGTCGGAATAGATCGAGCGGCAGATGTTCAGACGCTGGCGCTGACCACCAGACAGCGAGATACCCTTCTCGCCAACCTCCGTCATGTCCCCGTGTGGGAACATTTCCAGATCAGGGACAAGACATGCGTCATTCACCGCCTTCCAGTACCGATCCTCTTCGAACTGAGGGATCAAATCAGCTCAGAAACGTACAGCTGCAGTTGGGACGGAAGACAACGCACTGGCAATCCGAAACAGATGTTATCTCGAATGGTGGCATTCTGAATCCATGCCGTCTGTGGACAATAGCCGACGCTCCCACCGAATTTGACAGAACCCGCAGTCCGTCGCATTTCTCCGATCATGCCCTGGAGTAGTGACGTCTTCCCACTGCCAACCTGGACAAGCGTGAGACACCGTCGATTCAGCAGAAACACCAATCCCAGACTCACAGCACCGACGATAGCAACAAGCTGGCCCCGCGGAACGGAGAACGAGATATCTTTCATCTCGAATATCTTTTCCTCGCCCTTGACATCCGTTTCCGGGACAGCAGTCGCGGCCGCCTTCTTGCCCTTGCTCTTCTTCTTCTTGACGTCTTCGGTTTCGGGCGGAGGCGAGTCCCACATGAAAGTGGCGTTCTCGACTTGGACCGCGACGTCGAGCGAATCGTCCTGCACTTTGAACTCCGAGAACGTTTCTGCAACGAATACGTCATGGAGTCGATGGCAAGCGTTGGCCGCATCGGCGATCGAGCTCAGCGACACAGCTAATGAAGAGTCAGATATCAAATAAATTCACTCCAGTAACATTCTTACGCAAGCTGCCAGATAGTGAGACTCGGAAATGAAATTGTCAAACAACTATGCACTCACAACATAAGAGGCATGCGCAACAAATTGAACAGCGTGAGCGAGGCAAAGACATTGGCGGCGTCCAGGCTGTGTCCGGTCAGCGAGTAAGTCACAAAAGCCAACACCGAAGCCAGGGCTAGAAAAGAATGGGCTCAGTAAACTCGGTCTATGCATCTCATCGAATGGGCAGATTCACCAGGCAAAGACATCGCCACAGCGTTATTTGCTGACCGCAACAGGAGCATTGAACGGATATATGCCATTTCCTTTTGCCGATAGCTGCTGATCCGGGCCAAAAACGGTGCTTGCCAGTTGAACAGCTTCAGGATTTTCATCCCGCCAAGTAGCTCTTGAAGCAGCTTGGCGCGTTTGTCTGTCCAGATCATCGACTTTTGTCGGAAAGTGAACAGACTTTTCATGGCCCTCGTCTGCGCCGGTGTAACCAGGACGAAGAAGGCAAACCCTGTCAGCTACAAGATGGCTTTAACACAGAGATAGGACTTGGAAGGAATTCACTTACTGCACTGGGTCCCAGGTTGATAAGCTGCTTCTCGTGAGCACAAGGGATTCGCGTGAGAAAAAACAACTGACCAGTAGAACCAGGCAGATGATGGCCTGAATGGGTGAGGTCCAGGACTGCGAGAGTTCTCAGTCTCGAAGCTCCCACGGTGGGACATCAGACTTACCATGTGGAAGAACCCGGCGCAGAAATCGATGCGCGAGACATCAGACGAGATGTGGTTCACCAGTTTCCCATTGGTCAGCGTGGAGCGGGCGCGGGAGGTCAGTCGGAGGGATCGGGAATAGATGGCCGTGATGAGGCCGCCGCGAACGAGGACTCCAGTCGACATGGCACGATAGAAGAAGTGGTGCTGGCACAGCGACCCGATGAGCTGCATCAGAAGCAGCCCGATAGCAAGCCCGATCCCTCGGCCGATCGGAGGCGCCGTCCCTCCATTTCTGTGCGCCGCGTACGACTGTGTCCCGAACTTGATGATAGCTTTCACCACGAGAGGACTCGTAATCTGGGCCGTATCCCCGATAACCTAGAATCAAGGGAAGGTGGGTCAATCTGGGGATGACCCGGTACATGCTGTGGAAGGCTTACTTTCAGAACGCCACCGCTCCAAAACCACCACTTCACGCTGTCGTTGATCGCATACACGAGGCTCGGCTTCTTCTGCCCATCCACCTCCCGCCATTTCTTCTCGCGTTCGGCCCTGCGACCGCGCACGGACCACCACAGCGCGCGCCACCCGGGGCGTATCTCCCCGCTGAGCAGCCGGGCGTTGTACGCCGCCGCACGCTCGCACCGGCGGTCGAAGGACGCCGTGATGAGCCCGGCGATGCGCGCGGACGCGTGCGCGTCGCTGAGCTTGTACATGTCGGTCTTCTCGAGCGGGCGCGCGTACCCCAGCGCGATGAGCGGGCCGATCCAGCCGAATAGCAGGATGCTGAGGAACGAGGCGCTGAGTTCCGGCGTGAGCGGGGCATCGTCGAGCGACTGCGCTGGTGCGGTGGGGCTCTTGCTCGAGGAAAACGGGACGCGGGTGAACCTGCACGATTGCACGCAGGAATGGGCGTTATGTAAATAAATGCGAAGGTTATCAGCAATGATGGGACGCACCATGCCCGCTCGTACGCAACAGGCTGCGGCCGAGCCGCTACGACTTTTGGTTTCTCATCGCTGCCCTCGGCCGTGGACGTCGATGCGCGGGAAGAGGGAACGTCTTCGTGCAGGTCGGACTTTTCCATGAGGACGGCAAGGAAAACACGGACCGGGGCCGCGAATGCACAGCGGCCATTTTATATCGCACCCACATTGACATCAGCCCTGCAATCTGCCGCGGCAAACTTCTCGGAAACTTTTTTTGGCGACAATCGGTTCGCGGGCACCACAGGAAGATGACTCGACGTCATCTGTGTTGCTCGCTGTTGGATCGGAAGGGGGCGGCTGTAGGGAGCGTAGGTGCGTGTAGATCGTCGGGTAGTACCAGGCTGCTGCTACTAGATCTGGCCGCCGCACTCGCGTGAACGGCAAATCTTCACCCTGTGGTTTTAGTCATTTGTGATGTGTCGCCCACCGCTTGGATCAATCATCCAAGCTTACAAATTTGTGTGCCGGAACGGTTACCGAACGATCACCCAGGGTCATGCACGATACCGATGAGTACTACGTCCAGCGTTGCTTATTATCTGTAACTCAGATCACTCATTCCCTGGCCTCGCTAGTTTTGTTCTTGATTGCTAAACGCGTTGCTGCACTGTATCAATAAAATTTCGGTTGTGAGGCTGAACAGAGCGTTCTCGAGCTCGGTAGCAAATTTTGGGTTTCTGCTATAAATCATACAACTACATTTAAAGAGCATTCACAACGGCTACAGTATTCATTATTCCATCTCGGCCTTGCGACCGTGTTGGCAATTGCTGGCGGTTGGGACTTGCAGAGATACCACAGCTTCCGTGGAAGTCAATGTACAGTATGCTATACATATATTCTCTCAAGTTGCATCGGGATGTCATAAGTTGCCATTACATTGTACACTGAGTGGGGTACTGGTGCTCGTAATCTGTGACACGGAATACAATTCAACACAACAACTACCATGTCGACGGCCCAAACGTCTCTCCCGGCGCAAGCGAGAGTAGCGGCATGCCACGAGCATCGGCAGTGTTGCCATAGACAGTGTTGCCTGCCCAGGTCTGGATGGTGTTGGCGCCGATCGTGCCGCTTCTGGGATACTGTAGCACGAAAAAGATGAACACGGCCGAGACAGCGACTCCGCCATCCAGCGCGGCGGACAGAACGTAGTTGTACTTGGTCCACCAATTGAAGTGTCGTCTGCGGATAACGTACTGGAAAATGAATCCCACGATCGCCCAGGGCACGTAGTTGATGGCGCTGGCCGGGGGGATCAAGCCCGTCCCGGTGAAGATGACCGGGAAGCTGCGCAATGAGTCAGAGACCAACAAATGAGATTTCAAATCCGGGCCCGGACGCACTTGACATAGCGGATGAAGCTGTCGGGCCACTTGCGGTGAATGAGCCACGCGCCAAGAGGGCAGAGGAAGCCGATCAGGAAGAAGAACGTCAGGCCGTAGTAGATTTGGCCCGGGGAGAACTGTCTCGCGGGGCCAATCACACCCCAGATAATGCTCGCAGTGCCGAAAACCTGGGTGCTGGGGCACCGGAATCCGTCTTTCTGGCCGGCGTGGCACATGCCTTCGATGTGGGTGAACATCCAAGCTTGTACGCCAAGTTGCACGGTCCCGGCGATGACGGTCGCGATCACCTGCGCGTTGAACATCGTCCTCGGGGGAATCTTCATGTAGTGGCCGAGTTTGAAATCTGACGTAAACTGCGCTCGCCGAGTTAGTCCTGCACGTCTAATCGAAAAAAAACCAGCTACGAACTGTGAGAGCTTGGGCCATAGTGATATAGCCGAAAGTCTTGAAGGTCATCATTGCGAGCGGGTGTCCGGGCAAAGCGTAGCCAATGATCAGCTCAGTGATCACATTCAATCCAACTTGTTGGTTGGTGATGGCTTGAATCATGCCAATCGGGATAATATAGACAAATGCTGCCAACGAGGGTCACCAAAGCACCGGAACGTAACTCAGAAGGTGCTCACCGATGACAAGGGCGAGAATGAAGTACTGGAATGGGAAGCCGATGTGGTAAACTTGGGTAGCCACTAGCAAAAGGTGAGCGAGGCACGAGACTGAGTCTGATATCGGAGACTGACCTGCCGCACAGACGAACATGGAGACAAACGTGCAACCATACCACCATTCTGGGACTTGGGGATAGACTGACATGAGCCGAGCGTGGATATCGGGCTGTTGGCTCATTGCGAGCCGCGACTGCGTCCAGATCTGCTTGCGGAAGTAGAGTCTGTTGTCTGTGATGAACAGAAGTAGACGGGACCGGAAACAAGACAACCTACGCGGCATGGGTCACAGTTGCGGTGATGCTGGCAAACGACAGGCCATAGGAAAGAGCAAAGGTGGTCGACAGCATCAGTGGGCTGTACGCTTTGTACTTGGCCTCGTTGAAGGTGAGGTCGTCATTGAGGATGGCTGTGACATTGTACGGTGCGCCAGTGTTGTCGAACGATCCGCCGGTGGAGATGGCCATGTATTTGCTGTACCAGGTGTTTGAATAGTACAGCGCAGGCGTCACAATCCAGAAGAAGAAGACGAATCCAACAGCCACATTGGCTTCGGCCCACCAAGGCGTTGCGAGCGGAGAGCCGGTGTATGCGATCTGAGCCCAGTCAAAGGTGAGGAGGCCCATCCCCAGGCCAGTCTCCACACCGAAGAGTTGGTTGACCACAATGTTGTCAGGCTTCAAGGAGAGTGAGACGCAAAAGCTGAGAGGTGACAACGGTACCTACCACAATCCAGCAGACCCAAGAGAAGTAGCTCAATGCGGTGAACAGATATCCCGGGACAAGGTACCAGCTGAACGAACATGCCAGTGCGATGTAGAAGAACTTTTCACGGCTGATTCCACCGCGAGTTCCAACGCCGGCATATTCGGAAGCGTGCAGAGTGTTGAATAACGCGCATGTCACAAGGTTGGCAGGCCAGACTGGACGCCATCAGCCTGAGCGCAGAGAGATCAGCTGACCGCACATACTCATCGACGGAGGCTGGACGAGGAAGCGACGGGCAACACCGCCAATGGAGAAGCCGATCAGTTGCGTAGACATCACCAGAAGCCATTGGAACAGAAAGTTGTATTGCTGGCTGGAGCGCACTTGTGTCAGAACAAACACGAGATGTAACCGCAAATCGAGACATACTGATAAAAGACTCGCTGGACAGCCACAATGTCCGTCGCATATGCGCTCCCAGATCCTACAGACGCCATGATCGTGATGAGGACGTGCTCCTTGATACCGAAGGGGCCAGGGTTCAGCTCCAAGCCAAAGATCCTGAAGTTCGGCATGAACTTCGCCCATGCACGACCGATGGGCAAGGAGAGCAACTGCGCGATGATCTGGGCATTCACGGATCAGGGAGGGGTTATGACGGCCGCAACGATTGTCCTCACTCCAGTGACAGAAACGGAAGGGTAGCGGAAGAAGAAGAACTGGTTGAGGCCAGGGATGAGGATGGCCCAAATGAGACCAATCACCCAAGCCCTGATCGTGGACACTGGAATCGTAGGGTCGTCGGTGTTCGCAACGGCGGAGCGGACCTCAGGATAGGGTGAATCATCCTCTGCAAGCTATGAGTCTCCTCCGTAACACTCAGAGTCAAAGCACAGACCGGTGGCTATCGCGTCGGCGTCGGCGTTAGGATCGTCGAACTCCGGGGCATTGATGACGCCGACAGTGTCCTGAGGAATCCCCTTCTCAAGATCAAGAGTACCGTCGCTCCCCTGCGTCTTGGTTTCTTCCATAGCGAGAAGAGCTGAGGCCGAGTGTGAGGCGAGCTACAGCTGCGGACTAGCCGTTCCAAGTGCGAGGCGCTTTTATATACATGGAGCCTTCCTCGTGAATGCTGCCATGTGCGCAACTTCCCTGCCCTGTTTCGAAGTGTTACTATCAGCATTAACCGGACAACAGTCGTGTGACATTCATGGAAACCCGCACGGACTCGGAGGGTGGACCGAAGGAAGCATGATCTCGAGGCCACACTTTAACGAGGGTCGCATGTGGTTGGAGCAGATGGAGCCGAATGTGGACGCATAACAGTGGCCGTCGGTCATCTACCGGACACGCCTGTAGGTCCATCTCATGCACCTTGTGGCGTGGATGGCTTCTACCATCAGCTTTGGCCAATATCGGAATCTCCGGTCAAGCATGCCCGCAATGGAGATAAAACGACAACACTGGATGATTCTGAAATTGGACGTTCGAGTTAATTTGACTCGGCTGCTGCGATGGTCGCGACGGTCCCTCTGGGCGGGCAGCAGCTTACGGCGAGAGCAAACTTGTCGTAGTAGGTGATGTCATCAGAGTGCTGACACATTCTCACGTGATCGCGACTTCGATCGTTTGTTGAACTTGAAGCGGTCCCAAACTCTGCGGCGAGAACGCTAATTCGACTCCGGGCCGTGCCATTCCCCTACTAACCTTCCTTCGCCCCCGGTGGCATTATGTCCCTCAGCACCTCTCCCCGCAAGACGATTCCTCTATCTACCGGCCACGAGCGCCAGCGCTCTCGCTGCGACTCCACCACCGGCCAGACCAAACGCGTCTTCTTCTGCGGAGTTGTTGTCGAAGGTTCGGAGAATGGGAGGAGGCTACCTGAAGGCGCGCCATTCAAGCTACGAGCACACGGTTTTCCCCTGACCGGCTTTACAGATATTCAGGACCTCGTGCTGTCTCTCGGAGACACAGTGGCGTCTGAAACAGAATCTCTCTCATCTTCCTCGGACTCTGAATCCACTCACACCGTACGTGTCTCAGCTCTCTGTCCCCTTTGTGGTCTCTCAATCCATTCTTCTGTAGGAATTCGCTGGCCAACGCAAGCGCGCGCTTACAGACACATCGAAACTCGCCTCCTCCATACAAGAACTGGTCGAAACAGAAAGGTCTTACGTTCGCGCGCTCCGGTCGTTGAAGAACGACTATGCTGACCCACTGCGTAACTTCGCGAAGAGCAAGAACACGGCGCTAATCCCCCCATACGAGGCGAACACCTTGTTCGGCAACATCGATCATCTGCTCCCTGTAAACGAAGCGTTTCTAGCGGATTTGGAGAAGATGATCGAGCCCGATGGACCCAAAGCCGTTGGAGGAGTCGGAGACGTGGCAATCCGACACTTTAGAGATTCACGCGGGTTCGAGCAGTACAAGCAGTACTACACGAAACGAGAGGAGGCACAACGGTGGTTTCAGAGAGAGATCGCGCGCAAATCGTCGCCTTTTGCGGCTTACATCGAAGTGTGTGGCTCTCACTGCGAGGAAGGACGCAGCTGCTGATACTATCCCCAGCGCATCAAGTACGCGGGCTCAGACTCGAGGAATCGCGTCGGCCTACGAGAGCTCCTCATCAAGCCCGTACAACGAATCCCCCAGTGTACACTGATATTCCGGACGATCACCAAATACATGCCACCCGACGACCCGCAGCGCGCCAAGTTGCTTGAAGCGATTGAGTGCGCCAACAAGATCGCCCTCGCTGAACCCGATGAAGAGACGAAACGCGCGGCGATACTGCACTGCTTGAGCTCGACTATAGAAGGCTTCCCGCCAGATCTGTACTCCAACTCGCGGCGCTTCATAGACTGTCTTGATGTCGAAGATGTCCCGTTGGATCTACCAGTGTCGTCTGCCGCTTCGGTGAACAGCTCATCTGCCGGGTCTTTGCAATGCACGCTGTTCCTCTTTGATGACAAACTTTTGATCGCCAAGCGGGCAGGGCACGGAGAGAAGAGTGGTCGGATGCTTGTCGGTCTTGATGACCTCGATAAGGTGACAAAGGTCACTGGACGTTCTAGCTCAAGGAAGAAGAGTGGGATGAGTTGCAAAGGAGTCGTTGACGTGACCGAGATCGTTGTTACTGATGTTGGAGAAACTGGTATGTGAGATCAAGTTGAAGTCGCATTCTCAATTGATGAAACGGATTCGCAGATATTCACCTCTATTTGGAGAATCCTCCTATGGACCAGAACGAGCGATGGGCCGGGCGCTCATTTCGTTCTCTGGTTGTCCAGAGCCAAGCCGACAAGGAGCGCTTTTTGGAGAATCTCTGGAAGGTTCAGGCCACATACAGAGCCAGGGCAGGGCAATCGGTCGTTTTGCGGGCAGATGAGATGGAGGTCGAGACCAAGGGCGGACGAACGACTGTCGCGCGCACCTATTATAACGTCTACCAGCGGACAGCCTTTCTGCAAGAAGCTAAAAAGGTGAGTCAATCGGCACTCTACGTGTTCACATTGACGAGGATCACGCAGACGAAAATTGTGGTCCACATTGATGCGCTTGGTTCGGCGGACAGAATCCCGTTTGGTCTGGGTGGGCCTCCTTTCGCTGTGATTCGCTTGCAGCCCCTGGCTGGGGGTGTTTGTCGATACAAAGTTTCATCGAGTGACCCATCGGACCCTGGCGAAGAAGACATTGTGCAAACTACTCGCGTTCCAGCACGGATTGTGCTTACAAGTGAGTCCTTTTTTACGCTACAAGAGCCTGTCTAACTTTCGTTTAGTTCATCAGTTTGGCTTGTTCGAGTTCCGTACGGGGAAGAACTCAGCACCCTCGACTCCAACGCATCGGTCCAAAGCCGCGATCTTCGGATTGGATGCCATCTCGCGGAACCTCTTCAATTCTCGCCCCGGATCGTCCATGGGTGACTTCTTCGGGGGTTCTGTCAATGGCCATCGCCGGTCCAAGTCTTCGAACAGCCGGTCATCGATTTACACGCAGACCACAAGCACGGGAGATGGCAGCCTTACTAAATTCTCGCAGCGGTCTAATTCCACTGCGACCACTATGATGTCCACGGACGATGATTCGCTAAGAACGCGCTCGTCCCGGTCGCGGTCGAGGAATGTTCTCAGGAAAAGCAGGTCACCTGGGGGCACACCTGAGCCGGAGAGTCGGCCTCCGAGCCGTAGTTCCTCGCGGGCCAGCTCACGAGACCGGGGGCTCGAGTACAGTGACATCGAGGATGACGATCGGACTATCCTGGACCATGTGCGTGACATGGACTCCACGGAACGGGACTTGGCCTTCCAGCTGGCGTTGGCGAGAAAGAACAGTCAGACTCAGCATGGCAAGACCATCGCTCCGACACCCCTTCCGAATCCTTCGGAAGAAACTATCTATGAAGGTAAAGAAGCACACGCTTTGCTTTACTCTTACCTGAGCTGACTTTCTGTAGACGAAGCCCCAGGACGGCCCCTGTCGCGAATGCAATCTGGGCCCCCCCTTGATTCTCCGCCTCGACAATCTCGGTCCTTATCTCATGAACGACGTCCTTTGGGGCCTAGGAGCCCTTCCCCCTTACCGCCTGCAAAGACCCCTATGCTCGAGTCCGCGGCCCGATTGCCTTCGATGGATGATGATCTTGCTCTTGAAAATGCCTCAAATGCAGCGCGTGGAGCGGCTTCACGGGCGACAGCCATCCCTCGGAGCAAACGACTGCCTCTGTTTCCGACCGGCAACACCGAAGCTACTCCACGCGCGTCGACGTCTGCGGCGCCAATCGAGCCTCTGTCGATCAAGAAGAAGACGTCCCTACGCAGTGCGGACCACGCTGACCCTCCGCCGAGGAAACCTGTGACGCGGCACGAGTCTCCGTTGACACGTGCTAAACCGATGACCGCGCGTGTGTCGCCTCAACTGAATGGCCGGGCTGTCTCGATACGCTCGTCCACCAAAGGCCGGGAACCAAACCGGGTGCTGCAGCTGTCGCAGACGACCAAAGAGGATGTCGAGTCGTGTCACCGCGCCGTTAAACGGATGCGGGTCGAGATCGGGATGCTCAGCACCGACGAGCCGGCCCGTTCGGCTTCACCGTCCAAGATGACGCGCACACCGCAGCGGGCGTCGGTGAGTGGATTGTGTTGTATTCTTGCAATGCGTTTCGCTGACGAATTGCTCAGACTCAAGTTGCTATCGATCGGATGGAGGAGATGAGACAGCTCATCGGGCAGAGGGCCAGTGGCGATGGCACACCACGAGGCGCTGCTGCCGCTCCTGCTCCCTGGAGCACTCCACGACGCAGTGGCTCAGACGACGCACAACGTTCACTTACAGCCCTCGTATCCGAAGCGGACGGGATTCTCTCACGGGCGACGTCGAACCAGGAGGCACTCGAGACTGGCGTTCAGCAAATGGCCAGCGAGCTTGACGAGGTGTGTTTTCTGTTTGTTTGATCGCTCGCTCGATGGGCTGAAGCATGCGACCAGAAATCGACCGAGCTGGAGAAGACGAAGCTTGAGCTGCAGAACTCACGGCGCCAGTGTGAGCTGGTCAAGAGCTTGCTTGCCGATGCGACCGCTGAGAAGGAAATCATGTACGAGGTGTGTGTGATCAGGGGGCGCTCTGCTGTCATCTCGCCTGAAGCCTAATCGTTCCAGGCTTTCAACGAAGAACTGGACAGCATGTACAATGACGCGAATCTTCCTGACGAGGAAGCCTGGGCCTCGATGACCGCGGACCTGCGGAAAACCAAGGAAGACAGGAACGCGCTCAGTCGCGAAAACTCGTGCGTGACCATCGTCCGCCGATCTTACCGCGTCATTGACTGTTTCGGGATCTGTATGTAGGGACTTGAAGCGCCGCATGGCGGAGATGGAGGTCGAGCGAGAAGAGTGAGTCTGGTCGCTTTTTGGATTTGGGAACGAGATGGACTGACGATTTGCGCTAGATGGGGAGCACTGTTGAGGACGCATGGCTTGATTCCATGAAATGCTGCTGGACATGCTGTATATCTGTGTACCGTGCTACAGTTTCTGTATTTTTATCTATCTGCAATCTGCTGACTCGTCGTCCTTGGCTTTCCAAGCTTACCAAGGGTGTGTTGGAGGGACTACATTGACCCCTGGGCCTGATGTTTGTCGTCTATGTAAAGGATCTCCGACCCGAGATGGGACATTCGATACGTTTCTGTATTTGTACGAAGATTCTCGGTCAGTGTGCATCTTGCTGTTCTTCCCTCGAATCTGGATTCAGAGCAGAGATGACCCATATTCCAATTTCGATCGCCTCCAATCGCGATCACGTGCCGTCGTGTTTCTCAAGGATGCCCACGCGTTTATGTGAATTTTCATGCTTGCATCATCTAGAATTAACTTGACGGGAGTAGTCTAGTGCGTTTCAGCCAGTTCCGTGTCCTTGGTGCTCTCGGTTTGATCGGCAATCGGAGGTGTCCCGTCTCCGATGTAGTTGCCTGGCCATACGAAGACATAGACTGCGATCGCCAAAAAGAGAGGCAGCGTGTCTGGAGGGGTGTGAGATGGCATCATTCGAATAACGGTCTGCTGTGACGAACCCAGCGCGTAGAACAAAGCCTCGTCTGTGGCGAGATGGCCGACGTATCCCTGGGACAGCTCGATGACACGGTAGAGGGACCGAATCTGCGGCCGGATCAGTGACGTAGGGGGAAGGTGCAGAGATCGTGCCGCACGAGGATGCCGAGGAAGCTGAGCGCCATAGCACCGACCAGGATCCGCCAGTCGCGCTGCTTCGTGCTGCTCGCGCTGGCCCACAGCGCCCTGTCGTGCGTGTACAGACGGTACAGGAAAACCACGAACACGGTGATGAACACGAGGAAGGAGACCAGCTGCAGGACAAGCCCAGCGAGGAAGATCTAGACACGGGGATGGTCAGATGTCGATTGTGGACGCCCCCGAGTCAATTCACATGTGATCCCACTGTGGACGTTAGTCAGTCTGGGGTTAGGCCCGGCGAGAGAGCGGGCTTGCCTGTGTTGATCTTGAGCTCCTGGGAGGACACAGACACGGCGCCGCCGACAGCCTGGGAGAATTGAGCCCGGTTGGGAGGTGGCGCGGGAAGGCAGCGCCCTTACTTGGATAAGGAACGTCGTGATGTCTGAAGAGACGAATATCTTGGTGATCCGGCGGGCTGGCACCATGAGGTGTCTGTCGCACTCGAGGTACCGCGCCAGTCTGCCAAGGAGGACGTACTCCGATGCGATGAAGGCGCAACTGCTCGCGCGTCAGTGCAGGCTGGGTGCATCGCAAGCACGGCGCACGCACGGAGAGAGGACAATGAAGAGGTATTCCACGATGTACAGACCTGGAAACACGGTGAAAAATCTGATTTCAGGGATAGATATACTTGGTACTCACCTTTACCCTCCGGATTCGAGTGCAGACCGAAGCGTGTGCCGAATCCGATCGCAAACGCTAGAGAACACGTTTGATTCGAGCCGCGTGGAAGGCGCGTTGGGCTGAGAGGACGCACTGTAGCATCCGATGACCATCGAAAGCATGAACCTCGCTCCGCGTTTGTAGACCAGACCCGTCTCTATAAACGCGACCAGCAAGATCAAGCCTTCGCAGAGCAATCATTTTATTTTCAGGTCGGGAGTGGGTTTCGTGGCAGCGCACCGAAAGCAATCCCCGTGAGCACGTTCGAGGCAATATAACGCAGTGGATTGAAGACATCGTGTTTCGGGTCGAGGAAGGGATCCGCGGGCCGCGGGATGTTGCCTTTGGGGGCCGCAAAAACCTGAGCGATGGGGAACAGTGTGCTCAGCAGTAGCAGCCCAGTGGCCGGCATGGTGGCAGTGGGAAGAAAGACGACTGCTGCCGGTCAAGTGGGCACACCCATGTATCCTGCCATATCAAAAGCCTAACCGGAAATCAGATTGGTACCACAGGCACCAGCGAGGAACTGCCGACTCCGTGCCCGAGACACCCGGAAACAGATGCACAGACATGAGCCAAGCAGAGGCCTTCAATTGATCATCCGGGATGCCGGGGCGGTCTCCATACGCTCGGGAGGGTTCTGCTTGATCTCGAGGGAGAGTTCTCACTCTGATCGGCCGAGCTGATTAGATTGGAACATGCTGATGCAAAGCACCTGTGGCTGTGCACCGATCATAACACTCGATTGACCTCAACCATGACGTAGTATCGCGAAGACGACCTGCCATTCTTTATACACCTTCTTCGCACACGCTCGCTCGGGATGCCTGTTTCGACTGTCTCTGCCGCCGTGCACATCACACCAGTTGTTGTCAAGACCTTCGCCAAGCACAGTAAACGCCTCGCCAAGAAACAGCGGGACAAGCGACCAGACGAGGCGCAGGATGATATATTCTTCGACCAGTGAGCCCAAGATCGCTTCCTTGTTGCTCGCAACCTCCATTGAGTCCCATCCGTCCAGAGCGTTCCACATCGTCAAAGCGTTCATCGAGCTGGGCACGAAGAACACCGTAGAGAGCCTGCAGAAGTTGTCAGTCCACACCGCGCGTGTCCACGCGAGATACACCACTCACAGCACGAAAGCACGAACACCCACGTCCCGGCGCCCTACTGGGCTGCGGTGGCGGCATGCAGCATCAGCCTCGCGACGTGCAACCAGGCCGCCGACGTGCTTGTGGACTGGTTCGGACCGGAGGAGCTCAAGTCCGTCGTCGGCGGCGAGAGGTGGTGGCAGGTCCGCGGCCTCGACGGAGTCGACGCGGAGTGGATCACGCAGAAGGAGTTTCTTGACGACGACGAGGAGGTCCGCAACCCGCTCTCACGCAAGTTGACCGAGGACGAGGAAACTACTGTGAGGATGGAGAAGTTGGATAGAGTCATGGTAAGCCGAAGCCGAAATGGTGCTATCTCTACTTATCTCCCTTGCAGTTATACGTACACGGGGGTGAGCACGATCTCGAATGCTACCTGGACAATTCATCGTACCTTGCGAAGGCGGATACTTTTGGGGCTCCATAAGTTTGTGGCGAGTTTGCAGCAGCTATATGCACTGATCTTCTCGCTAGATACACATAGATATCAGCTCATCCGATACGGCAAGTTTTCAATTGTGCATTCTCCTGCGGGTCTCCGTAACTCTTGACTCTAGCTCGCAAGATACATGGGAGGGTATTCGCTGTGAACTATCGGTATGCAGAATTCCCCAAACCGCTAGCGATTGAAATGCTGATCGTGATGTAGAAAGGCGCCGCAATACCCTTGGCCGTGTCCTGTCCAAGATGTTCTCGCTGCATGTGAGCAATCTTCCCTCATCTCGACACAATTGCTAAGATGTTGCGCAGATCTGTACCTTATTCAACCACCTCCCGATGCAGTTCACCAGCCTGTTCCGCCTTCGAAGATTGTTCTCGCAGGTCAGCATATTGGTATATCGTTAATAACAACTCAGATTCTGCAGGGGACTCTGCTGGTGCTGGTCTGTGTGTGACGGTCCTGACTCTGATACGTGACATGGGACTTCCCATGGCGGCTGGAGCTATTCTTATATCCCCTTGGGTGGATTTGACACACTCTTTCCCCAGCGTTATGGAAAATACAGAAACAGACATCATTCCTCAACATGGATTTCTGGCGAAACCTAGTACCACCTGGCCGGTCGACTCGCTTCCTGGAAATGACGGACGCGTTGGTCCTTCCAAACACAACGATCCTCCGGAACCCGGGCATGCTGACCAACTACGACCGACGAAAGCCCGCCTCGAAGGGAAGGACGAAGACGAAAAAGGCGGAGAAGGCGACCACACTCAGGTGGACCCGGATAATTACGATGTGGATTACTGGGAACCCCGGCCGCCCAAAGTTCAGATGAAGGATCCCAATGCGGAGAGCCTGGAATTGCATTCTCAAATCCAGCTGTACGCAACTACAGAGTGAGTGGTGATTCGATCTGTACCAAGTGGAAGGTCTCACGACTTGCAGACAGCTGTCCCATCCTCTGGTGTCGCCCATTCTGCAAGGGTCGCTGGGCAATCTCTGTCCGTTGTACATCATCGCCGGGAACAGTGAAGTGCTCCGGGACGAGATCGTTTATTTGGCACACCGAGCGGCCTACCCCGACAGATTTCCGACTCGACGAGGTGCTTTGAGAGATGCTCATCGTCAAGAAGTGAATGCGAAGCTCTACACACAGCCCACCAAGGTCTTGACACCTTCCTTCGCGATTCACTCATGCTGACGTGCATATGCAGGTCCACCTGCAGATCTTCGACGGTCAGTAGTCCAGTCTATGTCGAACGAAACATCTCATACGTCTTGTATGCAGACATGTGCCACGTGCTGACCGTGTTCACTTTCACCGAAAGTGTAGCTGCTTGCTCTGCCTTGAGTATATGCAAGACTTGCTCACACTTCAGCAGGCCAAACACGCGTATCGCTCCATTTCAGCATTCGTAAAGCACGTCGTGGACCACAGCTCTGAACAGCTTGCGGAACAGCCGTTTCCTGATCTGAACCGACAAAATTCGCATGATACGTTCGAAACTGCGGTCACCGACGACCAGTCGGAAAAACAAGCTGAAGAGAGCCGCCAAGTTCATGTCCGGGTAGATCATCTGGAACACTGCTCTTGTCTTATCATGTCCTCAGATGCTTCGCGAACGCGTGGATGTCCATGGCAAACCACGGCCAATGGAATCGATGGATGATATGTCGGTTTTGAAGCTTAAGCCGGCAGAGATTGGGATCATCAAGGAGGAGCCCTGTCTGAGATGGCTGCACGGACAAGAAGAATGGGACAGGACTTACAAGCGGCAAGCTGAACGGGCCATTCGGCAACGGCAGCGTTACCGAGAAAAGGCGGAAAAAATGATTTCAAACGCTCGAGAGCAGGGGCTCAAGATCGTCTCGGACGACTCGGGACAAACGACGACGACCTCGTCGTCTACTTCCGATCATCGAACGGACGGAGTAATACAGATCGATCGACGATGGGGCCCATTGGATTTGGACGACGAAAATCCCCCTCCGACAGCTATTGCCAAGCGCAGAGACACTGTGCGTTGGATGGGCCCCATGACCTCGAAGCCAGCCACTGATTTCCAACCAGCCAGAGGCCATTGCATTATTGAAGAAACATATTTATCACACGGCTCCCGCTACCCACCGTGTCATTCCGAAGCTCAAGTTATCGGACGCTGTCAAGGCTTCGTTGGACCCTAACGACGACCCCAACAAGCCGCCTAAACAATCTGTGTCTGAAGCACAAGTCCGAAACAGTCTCGTCCCAGACTCTATGCACGGTCTGCGCATATGGGATGTACTTGTTGGGTGAGTGGACTAGCATCTGGCTCTTTTGTTTCAGTGACATAACTCTCGCCAGCTACTTCATGCGCAAGAGCACTGAGAAAGCGGCCAACGGGAAAAATGCAATCAAGAAGGCCATCAAATCGTGAAGATCTTAGATATTTATCCACATCTCTAGATTTACTGGACTCGAGGACATTCCAGTTTTAATGACCAGTAGCAGTATGATGAATACTGGTATCAGACATTAGTGAGCCTGCAGCGAAAATGCGTTATGTGAATCGTGTCAGCCGTCCCGCTTAACTGCATAAAGAGCACAAACACGCCATAATAAAAATTCAGGCGTGGTCTGACCATCCCCGTCAGCACTCTTCTTTGACCCTCTACCTTTCTTCAGGTATGCCACTTGGAACTGGTTGCACTCGATCGCTCCTCTAATCCATTTCCAATCCTAGCTCTTTTTCTTCAGAATGCGTGAAGTCATCTCGATCCATGTTGGACAGGCCGGTGTGCAGATCGGAAATGCCTGCTGTGAGTCTTTTCGACGTGTCGCGTTGCCTGTATGCGTTCGATAAGAGCGTGTTCCTCCCATGACGCGTTCTTTTCAGCACGGTACTGACTAACGTTCAAGGGGAGCTCTACACTCTCGAGCACGGATTGTCGGTGCGTGGGCATCACCAGGCGCCTCGCCTCGCTGCTGACACGCGTTTTCTTGCACTCCCACAGCCCGATGGCCGTATCGTAGAAGGCTCGCCTGCGTCTGGCGACCACGGCTTCTCCACCTTTTTCTCTGAGACGGGGTCAGGCAAGCACGTTCCTCGCTCGCTCTACGTCGATCTCGAGCCGGGTGTCATCGACGACGTCAAGACCGGGCCCTACCGGTCTCTCTTCCACCCCGAGACGATGGTCACGGGCAAGGAGGACGCCGCGAACAACTGTATGTCGTCGTGCCTGTTTTTCGCTTTGCTTGCGGTGAATGTTTACTGATGGACTCGAACAGACGCGCGTGGACACTACACCGTGGGTAAGGAGCTCATCGACCCCGTCATGGACAAGATTCGTCGTCTTTCGGACAACTGCTCTGGTCTCCAGGGCTTCTTCGTCTTCCACTCGTTCGGTGGTGGAACCGGCTCAGGTTTCGGTGCTCTCCTTCTCGAGCGCCTCTCGACCGACTATGGAAAGAAGGCCAAGCTTGAGTTCTGTGTGTATCCCGCGCCTCAGCTGTCCAGCTCGGTCGTCGAGCCGTACAACTCGGTGCTCACCACTCACACCACGCTCGAGCACTCCGACTGCTCTTTCATGGTACGTCTGTCCGTTTTGCTTTTCCATTCTCTCCGGCTGATCGGACTAGGTCGACAACGAGGCTATCTACGATATCTGCAAGAAGAACCTAGGCGTCGTCTCGCCCAGCTTCGTTAACCTGAACCGTCTCATCGCCCAGGTGGTCTCATCGGTCACCGCCTCGCTTCGTTTCGATGGCTCCCTCAACGTCGATTTGAACGAGTTCCAGACTAACTTGGTTCCGTCAGTTAGGCTCAACAGTTGATGTCTTCCTTGCTTCTGACTTTGTTCGGCAGTTTCCCTCGTATCCATTTCCCGTTGGCTACTCTGGCTCCCATCATCTCTGCTGAGAAGGCCAACCACGAGCAGAACTCTGTTCCGGAGATGACCTTCTCGTGCTTCGAGCCGGGCAACCAGATGGTCAAGTGTGATCCCCGTGAGGGCAAATACAGTGCGTGTGCCTTTATCGATAATTTTCTGTTGTGTGGCTTATTCTTATCTAGTGGCTTGCGCTCTGCTTTTCCGTGGTGATGTTGTGCCCAAGGATGCCAGCGCTGCGGTTGCTGTGATCAAGACGAAGCGAACGATCCAGTTCGTTGACTGGTGCCCGACTGGCTTCAAGCTCGGTATCTGCAACGAGCCGCCTGCCTGCGTCCCGGGTGGAGACCTCGCCAAGGTGACCCGCAGCGTGTGCATGCTGTCGAACACGACGGCGATCTCGTCGGCGTGGAGCCGCTTGGACCACAAGTTCGACCTTCTGTACTCGAAGCGTGCGTTTGTGCACTGGTACGTCGGTGAGGGTATGGAGGAAGGCGAGTTCTCCGAGGCGCGCGAGGATCTGGCTGCGCTCGAGAAGGACTACGAGGAGGTCGGCATCGATACCGCTGACATGGAGGAGGGCGCTGAGTATTGATCTATCCCTTGTTGATTCCTCAATGCTCGATTGATTCTCTTTCCCCTGTCTCCCCTCTGCACGTCTTTTCATGATATCATCCCGCATTACACCGTTATACCTTGCTGCACTTGGAATCCATTCATTCTCCCATGAAAATCCGTAGTGTATTTCGTTGAATTTGAATAATGTTGCCGTCACTGGCTTCCCCTTCTACCCTAATTTCATTTCCGTGCAAGTGAGATGTGGCCAGTCAAAATCGTGCAGTTCATCGAGGTGAAAGGACTGCTTCGACAATACTGGACAAAACTGAAGCAACAAAAGCTTTTACCCTGCAGCCCGTTCATTCTCTGTCCCACGCGTATTTCGCTGATTCCACACGATGTGGACGTCATCGGCATCTGCTTTTACCATCTCCGGTGATTATGTGGTGTTACAAAACGGTAGTAAACTAGCAGCCCTACGGGTGAAGAAAGCTTTGAAAACATATCAAACAAATAAGAATAACATTTATAATAATGACAGGCTCAGAACCGCTGTCCGAGACGCGGGGTGAAGGGTGGCGCGGCGGGTGATTCCTCCGAGGCGGCGTGCTCGGCGACGGCTTCGTGGAAGTCGTGGAAATACGAGCTGAGCAGAGACATGTGCGCGGGCGTCGTCATGTGACCGTGTCCCCCGCCGGCGGCGGCGGCTGCGGTGGGTGACGGCGGCGACGGGAAATCGGACAGGTTTGAGATCCTCGAGATGGAGGACTCGGTCATGTAACTGCTCCGGGTCGGGTCGACCGAGTTGGGTTGTAGCGAGTTTCGTGGAACGGGGATCGGTGCGCTCTTCGGAGCGGCAGCAGGCCCGGGCGAAAGTTCACCCGTGAGCGACTGACGGTGGTCCCCGCTCGACTCGATCCTGGGTGTCAGCCCTGACCCAACACTCCCGAGACGGAGAGTCTCTGCGATAAATGAGTATTGAAACGGTGCCTCCGATCAAATCAAGCACGTACCATCCACTGGCGACGACGTCCTGTAGGACTCGACATCATCAGGCAGCTTGTGGATCGATGGGTGAAATGCGGACATCGTTTCCTCCTCGGGACGCACAGGATCGATGATGCTCTGCTCCATCTCATCAGTGAAGATGAAATGGATGTCCTGATCTGTCGGGAAGCGCGAGAAACGGCTGATGCTGGACTGCGAATCGGCACTGCCGGCCATGGACATCCGCATCGCACGCATCTCCTCAAACTCGTGGCTGAACTGTCGCGCGAGACTCGTCAGGCCGCTGCCGGTCCGTGTCCGCGTCGTCGAGCCAATGTCCCAGGTGACGCTGTTCTGACGTGTCGAAGTCGGCCGGCTGAGGTGGGTGAGGATCTCGTCCGTCATGTTGGGCCGATAGAACAGGTCCCGGAACTCGTCTAGGTTATCGTCGTCGCCATTGGCAACGAGAGGGGGCGAGCGAGGTGGTGAGGACTCCTCGGAGTTCATCGCCGGAGAAGAGCGAGGCAAAGGTGGAGGGCTGTCCGGGATGAGTCGAGCATGGCTCATCGAGGGATCGACGGGCGACGACTTGTTGGTGTGTGGTGTCTCGGGCAGAGCCTCGTCGTGCTGCGACGCCTTTCGTCGGACCCGGTACGGGTGTCCTTCCATGGCAGAAGCTTGCTCCTCCTCGTCGATCCACTCACCGACAGTCTTACCCCCCTCATGCCCCTCGCTCGTCCCCAATCCGCTGTCTCTGTTTTGCTCCATTGCGTTGACTAGCGTCTCGCCGAGCCCAATCGTGTCCAAGATAGTAAGCGTCGATTTCCGGTTCGCAGGCGAGGGACTGGACGAGGTCGAATCACGTTCTGACGTGTAGGGAGAATACATCAGATCGCCCGGCAGAATCTCGCGCACGATCCCTGGCGAAAGCTGCGCCCACATTTTCGATTGAGCCGGCACATTGCTGTCGGTCCGAGGCTGCGACACAACCGGAAACGAGTCCCTTTGTGAGGCATAGGGATGCGTGCTCCCACCAACATACGCCTGTGGCGGGAGTCGGTGTCGGGCTGACAGATCTTGCGGATCTGCGTGCGGGATGGCCACAGCTGGATGAGGCCCGGCGTAGTCCGCGCCCTTGGAGGTGGACGACGGCTGATAGGACGAGTACGACACCGCGCCCTGTGCGTAAGGATGGCTCGGCAGGTGCAGCGACTCGAACGAGCTGGAGTCGTTCGGTGGCGGTGTCGACAATGCGATTCCCATGCGAGTATCGCTGACAGTCGACGGGACAGGCGATGGCCCGTTACGATGAGACACCCGGTCAACAGGCAGCATGGCAGGATCAGCTAATCTGATCACTTTGGTTCCCCCACCCCGGAGCGCTGATTCCAGCCCGTTTTCCTCCTCCGCCGGAGACAGATCAGGGTAACAGATACCCGCTGCCTTCTTGAGCGCAGATTTGCCCCAGCTCTCTTGGCGAGTGTGTCCGTGCGACGATTTGCTCACCGTCTTCACCAACGAATTCGAGTGCGAATGCGATGATCGGGAGTTGAACGTGTTGGCCCCCGTCGAAGTCCCAGTTTGGCTGCCGGTGCGAACATGTGTTCGCTTAGGCAACACCGGAACGAGCTGCTGATTCCCGACCAACGAACGAGCCGCTAGGAAAGCCATGTTGCCTTGTGGCCCGCTCTCGCCCCGATGCGTGAGCGATTTTGCGCGAGATCGAGATAGGCTGCGGCTTCGCGTGTTTTGAAACGAGCCCGTCGCTTGTGTTTGCCATTTCTTGCGCTGATGCTCAAGAATCTGGCCCTCCTCAAGCACGCTGCAACTGTGTCACCGCCGAGTCATCGCCGAGAAAAAAAACATACCGTGCCAGCGAAGGCACCGGACTCGGCAACGCGAGGTCATCCAGTGCGAAGCTCTTCGGCCGAGGCGGGCGCTCAAGACGAGTCGGAGAGACTACGATAGGTGGCAACACTGGCGGTTCGTTCCTCCGAGTACTCGGTCCAGCTTCGGAACTACGAAGGCTGGCAATGCTGCGAGAGTGTGCTAGCACTCGAGAAGCGATACCCGGAGGTTTATAGTGATTTTCGTGGGCGTCAAATCCACCAGATACTGGTGATCCCGGTGGGCTGACCACCCTCCCGTTGAGGCCTTCGATCTTGAGCCTCGGACGCGGAAACATAACCGCGTCGCACCAGGTCTCGGGACTCAGCCAACGATCCTTCAGCTTCGACGGCGGGCCTGGTTTGCGTAGCCGATTGGGAGAGCGCGAACCAGACCGAAGGTTCGGCGTCGACGTCGAGTTCTTCAGCATGCGTACGCGAGGGTCGAGCGACTCGTCTTGAATAACGTCAAATTTGAGTTTCGGGGAGATGATGAGGGGGGCGGTGGGAGGTGGCTCGTGGATGAGGTTATATGAGTACGGATGCGGAGACGTAAGGGCGTTCCTCGGAGCGTCCAACGTCCCAAATTGGTCAGCGGCGGGCGTGTAATTGTAATAAGAGTGATACGCGTCCACGTCGTGAGAATCGAGATTGCTGCGCCGTTGGGAGGATACACTGTAGATTGAAGGCGGTCCGGATCCAGTTGGCATCTGAGCTTGAGGAGGGTTGTACATGCTCGAGAAGCTTGCCGGGTCGGTTTTCGCTGCAGGGCTCACCGGCAGCGGAACCTTGGTTGGCGACAAGGGATTTTTCTTACTCGACTGCCCGAAAGTGAATATGGTCGCCAAACTGGACCGCTTCTGAGGGGGTACATCGCGCGAGGTTCGAGTAAATGGGACAGGGGACTCGCCAACCCCCCCGCTTTTGTCGAGGTTGATATATGAAGGAACGGGTGGCCTGCCGTCAGCGGTTACGGACGACTTTCGAAAGGCGCCGATATTGGGAATGTGAGGGTCCACTGTACCCGAGGACACTGTGCGGCCGGAGAAACCTGAATGGGTACGGGCACGGGGTCGGCCTATGCGCTCTTCCACCTCCCCATGCCAGGGGTCCCTCGACAAGTCCGTCGCGTAACGCTGGTGCAGCTCTTGAATCAGGTGGTCTCCATCATCCTCGTACACCGGATCGCCCCAGCTGTCCCTGCCCCGCTCCTGCCGCCTTGGTGGTGGTGCTTCTACCGGACCATTGTAAGGGATGTAATTGTCGTCTACCGCGGGGGCACGATAAGCTTCCCGAGCGCGGGCCGACTGGGAACCTTTCCTCATCAAGGAGAGCCTGGCGAACGGGCTCGAGGTCTGCGTCCGGGTCGTCATGTTTGCGCTTGGGCGTATACGTCCCCACACAGCCTACGAGCAACTCAGGAGGTCTCGTGCGCGCGTGTCGGGAGTGAGGTGGGGGAACGCGATGTGTGGTGGATAGCGAGATCGAACGAGCGGACGATATGCGAATGGGGTACGCGCGAGACTGAGAAAAGAGGGTACGTAGAATGGCTGAGGCTGGAGAAATAGAGAGAGAGTGAGTGAGGGAGAACGTTGGCTGTAACTAGGATTCACTACGCACGGTGGATGGGATGGAGGTTCAAAAGGGTCACCGGCGAAAGCGTGGATGTTAGGACGCAGGAGGAAGGGGAGCACTTGACACGGACATACGATCGTCAACCTGATTGTCAAAATTCGACAGTGGTTCTCCCACATCGCACGTGGTCTAGACTGTGATTTACCGATCAGATGTGAGATGATGATTTCATCAAAGACGCATGATGAACAAATTACCGCAGAGCGCCGGTCCCGGTGTGACAGCTAAACTGCAGTCCGTCTCATTGCGACCACCTCCGCTTCATTGCGCAGGAATGTCGCATGTGCTGGCGGGGTGTGCGTGGCATCCATACTCTTCACAAGTTACGGTTCAAGTTCTTGGCAGGTGCTTACGCCACCCACTGATCGTTTGTTCGGGATCTACGCAAGCGACTTTGACGAAAATATATATCTTCTGGAGCCGACCAGCCGAAATATCCATAAAAAGCGGGCTGTAACACTTGAATCAAAAGAGAACTGACGAACACTTTGATTCTGGCCCGGCTCAAGTGCAATCTCTTCAGGAAAATGGGCTATGTACTAAGACCTGTCCGGACAACTTCAACAGATGCTTGTCGAATCTCGAACCAGTTCGCGATTTGATGAACGCGACAATCAAATGACACAACGCCATCACTGACCCATCAGTGACCTGATGGGGTTGGTAAATCGTAGAGCCTGCCTCTCGACTTTTAAGGCATAACCAGACGGTCCGCTTCCCAGATTCAAAGTGGCTTTTAATAATGATGCTCGGGTAGTGATTCGTGAATACAATGAGCATTTGATGGTGCTTAAACTCCGTTCTTCACCGACTGCCAGCTGGGACGGGATGTGATATCCTCGACCCAACGGTTGACATTTGGACGGCTGGTAAACAACTCAGGTCCAACAGCCTAGAGGATGACAGAGATTAGAAAGAACCGGCACTAATTTCATACAGAAACTCACCGTCTTCAGTCCCTCGAGCCATGGGCAATGGAAGATATCGGCAATTGTCAGCGTCTGTGAGGTGGATAAGGATGAATCGACCGTGTTCTCGATGACCTACGTTTCCGGCGAGATAGGTCTGCTTTGCCAGCATCTTTTCATAAACATCCATTTTCGCGTTGATTGTGGCGACCAACGCCGCAAGCTTGGTCTCGTCCGTTGCCAATCCCCTCATCCTTGAGAAGTTGAGATCGATCGATCGATCATAACGAGACCGACACTCACGGGTTGAACACTTTCTCGATTATGATGGGTAGTGCAACGCTGTCGAAGTGGTTGCTCTCGATGCTCATGGCCTGCTCAAATTTGGCAGTCGCTTGGATGTCTTTCGGATCGGGAACGAGTGTGCTTCCGTTCCCGTACTTTGCCACGATGTACCGCGCGATCGGACGGCTTTCGAAGAGACTGAAGCCATCATCCTGCTAGGATATCAGGACAATGCCGAGAACATGATCTGGGACGAACCTCGATTGCTGGCACTACACCGAAAGGCTGGCGGGCAAGGTGTTCGGGCGTCTTCTGCTCACCGGCAGCAATGTCGATGAGGATGAACTCGAAGGGGACGCCGATCTCCTTGCAGACGGTAGCCACGGAACGGGTGCAGCTGGAGTGTGTGTAACCGTAGAGCTTGAGGACCATTGTAGCAAAGAGAGAGAGTATGGAATGAGGGACTCGAAGGAATGTCCCGCCTTATAAGGGACAGACTATGGAACAAAGATAAAGCGCTAGAACTCACGTGTTGTCAAAGCAAATGAAGAGATGTTTTCGTGTGGCTGCAGGATTCTAATCCCGCGCGGTGATTTTTATTGATGAATGCGTCGCCTGTGTCGCTGGCGGCAGGTCACTCGAAGGGCTCGGAAAGGAATAGACGTCATCGCCGGCCGTGCCAGAGACTTCAGCAGCGATTGGATTGGATTGAGTGGAAACTAGATTATCTACACGACTGATGCCGAGTTGCTTGCATGCGTGGCCCGGTAGAGCGCGTGGCCTTGGGAAACAGGGGAAGCACGTCGGCCGATAGAGGCCGATAACCGCACTGTCAAGAAGGCGGCGAGAAGTGACCAGGAGGAGAGGCAACTCACGACACCAGACATGCTGCAGACCGACGGCAAGCGACCCTGAAAAAGGCCTCATCTTCAAGAACATTGCCGTTCTAGAGCGTCCGGTGAACAGAACATCGGACGCTTGTATGAAATCGGTGCCTTGAGTAAAATACCGGCAGGAGAAGCGATGCAAAATCGGCAGAAGCCAGAACAAGGCTGCAAGGCTGGAGGAGTGCATCAATTAGGGTATGCAATAGTCCGTGCTGTAAGCCATCAGCGCCTCGGATAGATGCCGCAGGACAAAATAAGGATAAGAAAGTTGGCGTCGGCATGGGTTGATACATCGAGTCCGCCCTGGTCAAACAAGACCACAGAGAGGATTACCGTGCGTCCATATGACGGTTTCAGCGAGAAGAAGCGGATGAATGAATCATGCACGACCACAAGAGACCGAAGGCAGTCAGCAGGCAGGTAGAGAAGAACAAGTGGGGACGATCCGTGCGTCCATATGACAGTTTCAGCGAGAAGAAGCGGATGAATGAATCATGTACGGCGACAAGCACCCGAAGGCAGCCAGCAGGCAGATATAGAAGAACAAGAGCTAACGATAAAGCTGCCTTCAGAATGTAGGGAGGCGAGCAAATGAGAAGCCACCGACTTTGGAGGATATACCTGACGATGCATGCTGTTGATTTTGCAGACAAAGAGGTACTTCATCGGCAACACGCCAGTATTCAAGTCTCGAAGGTCGACGCAAAGGACAAGTTAGTTGACTTATGGGAAGCGGAACAATCCGGTCTGAGTCGGCCGGCCTCGGAGCCGAGAAGGGGGGTGGCGCGACAAATTTGTGTTGACGCATCGGGACCCTAGCTCGTCTCTCTCTTCCAACTCCGCCGCGGTCGTCACACTATGCGTGAAGTCATCTCTATCCACGTCGGCCAGGCCGGTGTCCAGATCGGTAACGCCTGCTGTACGTTCCTTCCATCCTCAATCGCGTCTCCATCGCGTGCTGACAGACCCACCAAAGGGGAGCTTTATACTCTCGAGCACGGCTTGAGCGTACGTGCCCTGTCGTTTGCTTCCTTCATTATGCATTTAACTTTCGATTTTTCGCCAGCCTGATGGTCGTATCATGGAGGGCTCTCCCTCTGCTTCCGACAGTGGATTCTCGACCTTCTTCTCCGAAACTGGATCGGGCAAGCACGTCCCCCGTTCCCTCTACGTCGATCTCGAACCTGGTGTCATCGACGACGTCAAGACGGGTCCCTACCGCTCCCTTTTCCACCCTGAGACGATGATTACAGGCAAGGAGGATGCCGCCAACAACTGTGAGCACATTAGTCAGCCTTGTGTCGCATACTGTCTTAGTGGTGCCCTATCTCAGACGCGCGTGGTCACTACACTGTTGGCAAGGAGCTCATCGACCCTGTCATGGACAAGGTCCGCCGCCTTGCCGACAACTGCTCCGGACTCCAGGGCTTCTTCGTCTTCCACTCGTTCGGTGGTGGAACCGGCTCAGGCTTCGGTGCTCTCCTCCTCGAGCGCTTGTCGACCGACTACGGAAAGAAGTCCAAGCTTGAGTTCTGTGTGTACCCCGCGCCTCAGCTGTCCAGCTCGGTCGTCGAGCCGTACAACTCGGTGCTCACCACTCACACCACGCTCGAGCACTCTGACTGCTCTTTCATGGTGCGCCTGCGCGTTTTGCTTTTCCATTCTCTCCGGCTGATCGGAATAGGTCGACAACGAGGCTATCTACGACATCTGCAAGAAGAACCTCGGTGTCGTTTCCCCGAGCTTCTCCAACCTAAACCGGTTGATTGCTCAAGTTGTCTCGTCCATTACGGCTTCCTTGCGGTTCGACGGGTCCCTGAACGTCGATCTCAATGAGTTCCAGACTAACCTTGTGCCGTGTGTTGTTTGATGACGTCATTGATAATCTGAGACTCACCCCTTGTGTAGCTTCCCCCGTATTCACTTCCCCCTGGCTACCTATGCTCCCCTTCTGTCTGCCGAGAAGGCTGGTCACGAGCAAAACTCTGTTGCTGAGATGACTTTTGCTTGCTTCGAGCACGGCAATCAGATGGTCAGTTTCCTAGCTTAGATAACTGGTACAACTGGATCTAACATGTCATTTTAGGTGAAATGCGACCCTAAGGAGGGCAAATATATGGCCTGCTGCTTGTTGTACCGTGGGGATGTTGTGCCCAAGGACACCCAAGCTGCGGTTGCCAGCATCAAGACGAAGCGTACAATCCAGTTCGTCGACTGGTGCCCTACAGGATTCAAGGCATGTCTTTGGTCAACACACACATGACCTTCCAAGTAACATTTTCACAGATGGGTGTTTGCAACGAACCCCCTGCTTGTGTGCCGGGAGGTGACCTCGCGAAGACCACTCGGAGTCTTTGCATGCTTGCCAAGTGAGTTCTTGTGAATGAATGTTCTGGGACCATCTAATGGGTTTATGTGCAGCACCACTGCCATCTCTGCTGCCTGGGGTCGACTTGGTGCGTGTTCATTTATACTACGTTTGCAGCCGTTTGACGCCGTCGACCAGACTACAAATTCGATCTCATGTACTCGAAGCGTGCGTTCGTGCACTGGTACGTCGGCGAGGGTATGGAGGAAGGTGAGTTCTCGGAGGCACGTGAAGATCTGGCTGCCTTGGAGAAGGATTACGAGGAGGTTGGCACCGACAGTGCTGATGGCGAAGAGGAGGGTGAGTACTAGACGTGATGATGTGAGATACACGCAGGTGCCGCCTTGGATTGTTTCCCTCCCAAAATACCCCGCGTCTGTACATCCATCATCTAGCTCTCCTCCTTGGTATTTGCTCGCAGATCTTTATCCTTACTTACTCCTGTTCATAATGAATGCGAAACATCGAAATATGTGGATGCTTTCAATACTGTCTATGCGTACAGACCGAGAAAGGCAGCGCAGCAGAGTGATGAGACGACATTCACCTGGTTATTGGACAAGACATTCCATCCGTTGATAGTCTTCCCCTGAGCGGCATCCTCAGTCACAACCTTACGCTCGTCATCGTACCTCGTCGCTTGAATCGTCGCGCCAAGGAACGAATCGATGGCGCTACCATACGCGCCAGCGATCGCACCCCAAAACACAGCGTCACCGACAACGACATCCCATGTCTGCCTGCATGTCGGATTCTCCAGGACCAGGCAGATACTAGCCACCAATCCCATGATCACTCCTCCCACGAGAGACGCGATCGTCCCATTCACCGACATTCCGCCATTCGTACCGGGCGGAACAGGCTTCCAAGTCGTGATTAGTCGCGGTGGTGAAGGGGCCAGTATCCCGATTTCAGACGCAAGCGTGTCCCCGAGACAGCATGCGAAGTGACTGGAACAAGTTCAAGGCAGTTGGCCCATTGTGCGTGGAAGGTGCGCACCCAAGTGCGGCAAAAACAAGGGTCCGACTCCATCCTTGGCCGATATTTTCAGACACCGGACACCATTCACTCGAATACGGGTGCACAATACTGGATGGGATCCTCACAGCGTCGCCTGTGAGTAAACGGAAGATACTGGCATGCACGCCTTGTGGGTCAAACAGAATGTTCCAGGCAGAACACGCGACGAGGGCGCTGAATGAGTTGCTGAGGACCTGCCAGCCGGATCGGTAGCCTGCGTCATGGTAGCCCGCCTCCAGAGTCCGTTTCTTCTGCTTCCTGTCTGCGTGCGCGTCTGATGAGGGAACACGCTATAGCGTCCGAGGCGCGTATGCACGTACATTTCGTCGCTCGGCTCCCGATGAGGTAAAACAAGATGAGAGAAATGCCCCAAGTCTTGAGGCTCCCGACGAACATCAGGAAGCCGACGACGAGGGCGGTCAATGCACCGCTCGTGGAGAGCGACTTCTTGCGGAAACCATGCCCGGCGAGAAGAAGCGGAAGCGTTATCGAGACGATTGAGATATCTGGCATTCTCATCTTGGGTATTGAAGGTTGGGCGCGCAAAGCGACGGGTCAATTGATGAATAAGTACCTGCAGTCGGGCCGCACGGTTGACATGCTCGCACGATGTGGCTGTACGTCCAAGCCCAGTCACCTTCGTTCTTTCCAGTAATTATCAATAAGAGCTCTCTAAGGTGGAGAGTGTGGATACCAATTCGACATCTTTATCATCAAGCATGGACCGATTCTTTCTACGATCTACGTGTGGATTAGATAACGACTAGAGATCTTCTATTTCTACAGTGACGTCGAGGCCACCGCCCTCTGATAGCTTGAATTTGATCTTCGACATGTCTTTCACCAGGAAATCCGGTTTGACTGCTTGCATCTGCTCCAAAGTGTGTGACGTGAGGAATCCTATAGTCTTACAGCCCGCAGCCTGCCCACTGCGAACACCGTTGGGCGCATCTTCGAACACAACACCTGATAAACGTTCTACAGATAAAGTTGAAGGTAACATGATCTGAGCTTACAGTTTTCCGGCTTTACACCGACCAGCTTTGCGCCGAGAAGGTACGGATCGGGCCTGAAAAAGTAAGATCACGCCAAAGATCAAGGAGTTTGACACTCACTTGGGTTTGCCTTGGGTGACATCCTCCGAGGTGACAAAAACATCTGGAACAGGAACTCCGGTAAGTCGAAGTGCCGTATTCGCGTACGCTCTTGTTGCAGATGTGCAGATGGCCCAGACGGGGTTCGGCAGAGAGCGCTTCGACGCGATCTAGCGGTTGAATGAGCTTCGAGAAACCAAAACTATTGCTGCTAAGGCTGTACCGTGTCCATGGCGGCCATGACGCCGGGGAGTACAACAATTCCAGATCGGCCGTTTTCAGTGGAGGATGTTACGATGGCGGTCTCGAAGCGCTCAGCTTCGCGCTATAAAAACGGTGTAAGGTTCCAAGAAGTGCGATGGCGAAGGAGAACGGACAGCCAGCTCGTCTGGATCTGTGATCCCACAGTGTTTCCGTATGTTCTCGATTGTCCGCACACCGTGAGCAGCTATGTAGGACGGTAAACGATCAGACTGAGAAGGATCGAGTCCGACACACAGCTCAAGATATCGTGCAAGTCTAGGGTCGGATAAGCGACCTTAAAGAGAGCCCAAGCGCCTTCAACGCCAGCAGTAGAATCGACTAGCGTTCCATCCATGTCGAAGAGGCTGGCCAATCGATTCAACTTGTCGGTCTATCAAAGATACCTCAAGTCTTACGCGGCATCGACGTGGAAATTGATAGAGGGCATATTGAACGGGAGAGGAAGAACGTTCGTGTTGAGATCAAGCACTGGCCAGGGGTGGTCATCCTTAACGCGTCGGGCGAAAGGTCCGAAGCTCGTGATCATCCAACATCAAGACAGCAGTTACACTGCCACACCATCAATTGAGATCTGTCCCGGCCATTGCATTATGCCGCCGAGGAGACGAGTCAACCAGTTCACGCCGGAAAGCATCGACACTCAATTACAGCAAATCCATCTTCTGGATCCATCTTCTTCGTCCGAGAATCTCGAACAACTGGGTCCCATCATCAAGCAGATACACACCAACAGACAACAGGAAGCCTTCCTCCGCAGTGTTCAAGGATTAGTAGAGTCCAAGGATGCCGAGATCGAAAAGATATGTGCGGATAACTACCAAGACTTCATTTCATCTGTGTCCACGCTATTCAATGTCAAGAACTACACGGACAAGATGAAACAGACTATCTCTTCTCTTGATGCAAGTGTCGCGCAGCTCGGTCGCGGTCTGGTGGAGAAGAAGCGCGGTCTGCTACAGTCCAAGAAGACAGCCGCGAACCTAGATGAGGCAATAGACACGCTGCAGGCGTGTCTTCGCGTTCTTGATGTCGTCAACCGCGTCGGGGAGATGGTGCGGGAGGGGAAATACTGGAGCGCGTTAAGGGTGTGTGATCTGCTGCTGCTGTGATTGTCGGGATGTTTTAACACTAGGGATGTAATTAGTCTCTGGATGAGATACAGAGTATGCCCCCGACATCGCTATCCCAGACACCCTTCTTCCAGCACTTGCTGTCGTCGTTGCCATCACTGCGGGGGCAGATCAAGGACGCAGTCACTGCCTCAATGAAACAATGGCTCCTCGAAATTCGGAACGTCAGTGGAGACGTTGGCCGTCTCGCGCTGGACGCGACAGAAACTCGTCAACGTCGATGGAGAGGGCGCCGAGAGAAGGATCCTTTATTGCGCATGAGTCGCGTGGGCAGTGCAGTTGAAATGGTCACTTACGAGAAGACTGACTGTGAGCTTCATGAAAGGCCATAATTCGTCTGCTGACCGCTTGAAGACGACGTGCTAAACAACGATCAAATCCAAGTCGACTTCAAGCCTCTGTTCCAATCCATCCACATCTACACGGCATTGGATTCTCTAGACGAGCTTCGTCGCTCGTACCAAGCTGATCGCAAGGTAGGTGTAACTTATCGCTTGCAAACAGTCTTCTCATCTCTTTCGAGGCACAATCCGACCTCATCCTTCCCACTCCATTACCACTAGGCGCTCTCGACAGCCTCACGCAAGAGATATGCGGTTTCTTCATCGTCGAGACGCGTGTTCTCGAAACAACGGACGAATTTCGCTCTGAACGAGATGTAGAAGAGCTTTGGGATGGCCTGGTGGTTCGACTAACATCTGCCATCGAAGCTGCCTTGCGAACAGAGACCAATCCTGACTCTTTCTTGGCGGTCAAAGAATGCTTGATCAAATTTGTCATGACTCTCGAGGTACTGATACTTCACTAATGCCCTCGTTGGTGAACTCATCGTCTGCAGTCCTCCAGCTACTCTACTATTCCTCTGCACTCTTTCATCATCGTGCTGTTCGAGAAATATGCCAAACTTCTGGAAGCTCAGTTCAATAAGAGATTCGATGATGTGGGCTGTTTTGACCTTTCGTTTTCCTGGCCCAATGCTTACGCATGGAAGATCGTGAAACAAGATGATCATCTACCGATGCAGATCGACACAGAGAACCAAGCGAAAACCGTCTTGGAAGTTGTCTGGATCAGCGAGGAAGAGGAAGATGCCGTCCAAAGGTGTGTGATGTTCTGTCGTCTGGCCGAAGAAATTGCTGCTGAGCCCGATCAGAAGTGCCTTTCCTTGTAATCTTCCCTGGTCGCAGACCTTTTATCTTTGCTGTCAAGATGTGAGCCGTGCAAAATAGTGCATAGCGATTTAATCTCATTCTCTGCTCAGATCCGCGCATTTATCCAGAAGTTCTATGCCTTTGTTGAAGGAGTGTCACAACATCACAGGAATATCGACGAGCTATTGAGCAAGGTCGGACCATACTCCGGTGCATGCAGCAATTCTGATTCGTCCCAAGTCTCTTGACAGTCTGCTCATCAACCACATCAGCGAGACTGTTGGCACAAGACTGGCCAGCACAGCTACCCTGACGCAGATAGCTCAGATTGTAACAAATCTAGAGCATTTCCAAGTAGCCTGCGCCGAACTACAGCGTTCGCTGACTAATCTCCGGTTCGCAGTCTATACGTCCGAGTCTCATTTCTGATTGGCGTTCATACATTCATCCATCAGTTCCACGCAGCGGGGCGGGCCGATATCCCTGAATGCTTCCACTTCATTCGAGAACACACTTTCTCGGGCGCTGGCTCGGATCACCGGGCTCATCTCCTCGAAGCTGGACGACTTTTTCGGCCTTTCGGAATACGACTGGACGCCGAACGGTCGGGAGGATGCACCGAGCATGTATCTGTACGAACTCGTCAACTGGCTCACGACAGTCGTGGACGCATTGGTCATCAAAGAAGCATACAAGGACGAAGCATACAAAGGCGCCGTGGATTACATCGCCAGCTGTCTGATGGTAAGTCCGAGTCATGGTCGGATCCGGGATCTATCAGCCTAATCGTCCAGGACTTCCTTACGGGGCGCAACGTCCCAATGATGAATGAGAATGCCATATCCAACATCCTCATCGATGTCGACTTCTTGGAAGAGGAGCTCCGCCGGATAGGACGTGGTCATCTGTGTGTCGCATTCGTCGAGCTCCGATCGGTCAGTAAAGGAAAAGCTCTCGCGCATGGCCACTCTGACACGCATCCGACAGACGACATCAATTGCACTGAACAACAGCGTTCAGGAATATCTTGTTCCCGCAATGCGGCAGACCTCGTACGCAGTGGTCAAGCACAAGAGGCTGGCATCACTGCTGGACAAACTTGCCAAATATGGTGCCAGTCAGCGAGATCCTGCATCACGGGAGCGTGGAGACCGGAGACGGAAGGAGGCTGAGGCTGTGGGCAGACTGTTTCCTGGAGAAGGGCGGTGATCAAAACGGGATCCAGATTGTCTAATAGGCGAGCATTTTATAGGACCATGGGTCGGTTTTATACATAAAGAGGCAAAACAGAAACCAGGATAAGCGCGGAAAGGCTCGATAGGAAGAGTATGGGTACTGCTAATAGCGAGGAAGGCCGTGTGTTTATCGTTAAGGATCGTAACCACATGCGCTATTAAGTATACCGAATAGCATTTATACCCGGCGCTTGATGTTGGCGCTCAACCACTCGAGACCCTCGTAAAGACCATCACCGGAGGTGGCACACGCAGCCTGTAAAATGATTGATTAGCGAACAATACCGCAGCGACGTCGCCAAGCACTGACCTGGATGTACCAGGTTCGCTGTCTGAGACCGTGGAGACCCAGCTTGTCCGTAATTTCAGATGCTTGCATCGCATTGGGCAAGTCCTGCTTGTTGGCAAACACAAGGAGGAGGGCGTCGCGCAGCTCGTCCTCGTTGAGCATCCGCTGCAGTTCCTCCCGAGCCTCAGACACACGTTCCCGATCGTTAGAGTCGACAACGAAGATGATGCCCTGGGTGTTCTGGAAATCTGCGCGGCAAGATGAGTCCTGATGCTCCAAACAAAGATGGTCACTAGACATACAATGCCTCCACAGAGGACGAATCTTGTCTTGACCTCCGACGTCCCACACCGTGAAAGAGATGTTCTTATATTCAACGGTCTCAACGTTGAAGCCTGGAAGGATGGACGCTTAAGCGAGGGCCAAAGCAGTGCGCCAACGTGGACACGTACCAATCGTGGGGATGGTGGTGACGATCTCTCCAAGCTTCAACTTGTAGAGGATGGTGGTCTTACCAGCGGCATCGAGACCGACCTGGAAGACAGGGTCGTAGTCGCATCGGTTGCTAGAGCGAGAGTTCGAAAAAATCATACCATGAGGATTCCTGAGCGCCAAAAATGAGGCGCTGCGGCGAGAAGCAAACAAAGGGGCACGCACGCATTTCCTTTTTGCCAAAGAGGCCGGACAGGAGACGAGAAACAGAGAGACCCATGGTGAGAGTGTGAGTGAGGAGGAGAGATTGTAGAGGCGGAGACCAAGAGAGACGGCTGTGAAGTGTTTGGCCCGCTGTGGGTTGTTTACCTAATACGATCCTCGCCTGTATTATTTGTTCTATCTACTTATTCCCCTCTATTCAAGCATTGTGAATTCGAGGAGACTCGTAGTCTATGAGATTTCTCACTCTCTAATCTAGTCCGTGGATGGCCCCGAGCTTTCTCGTCGGATGCCCACCCGAGGGCTGACGCTCGGCGAGTGGTGTTACGACGGCAACGTCACGGTCACTGGTGCCTTGATCATACGAAATTCAGGCTGGGTGTTGTAACTTGCTCAGCAGCAAGATAATTACAGATATGGAAGTACATAATTGAAGAAATGCGAATGCGGATATGGAATACAAGAAACAAACATCTATGCTCAGTGAGCTTTTTGGGCTTCGGAGACTTCAGGGAAGCAGGCCATTGGCGCGCAAATGACGATCGAGCTTGAATCTCCAGCTCTGATATATCCCATTTGAAGGCGACGGCGCATAATGGCACAATTCAAAGAGGACAAGCTGCTCCTGGAAGCCAGGATTGACCCAGATCTGGTCGCGTGCTGGGAAGAAGGGTCAGATGGCGCGAGGTGACTTGAAGAACAGAGTTGGACCCACCCCTTCGCACGAACTCAAGCGCCTTGGTGGGGCTGTACTGATATGCCCACATCAGATAGGCAGCGACGACTGCAGCGCTTCGAGTGACGCCCTGTCAAGTATGATTCACAGGCCATGACGCGAGTGTGATAGAATACTCACCTGGACATCGTGGACTAGAACGACACCACCGGAGCGAATGGCCTGATCAATGAATTGGCACGCAGAGGGCAGGTATATCAGGAGGTCCGCATAGTCCACATCTTCGACCGGAATGCGCATGTGCTGAACCCCCGATTGCGGCAGTTCGGCAGGGATAGGGTCCGTGCAGACAGAGAGAACATGAGAGACCCGGCGTTCTGGAGCGAGATCAGCAGACAGTCGATGTCAGCGGGGACACAACGTACCGGCCAGTGATCTCGTTGATCGAGCTGCTACAAGGCTGAACAAGTCGGAGAACATCAGTCCGATGAACGACGCCGTGCCAAATTAGGCAACTTACTTTCCCAAGTAGAGCTTGTCCTGGATGATCGCGTCTACGTTTTTCCAAACCATTGCAGTGAGAGTGTGCTGGGAATTCTGGGTGGAACATGGCGCACCTGCGAGTACTTGTACCAACCCAGTGCGCCGCGGATGAGACACAGTTGCATACACACTGTGTCGGTCTCTGGCGCCCCCGAGCTGCGAAACTGCAGAAAAACGCGTAAGAGAGGAGCTATGGCGGTGTCAGGCCCGACTCCTGCGACCCCATGTGGCGGAAAAAACAAGGGCGGACACACAAACTTTTCGAGTAGCCGCCGGCACCGCAAACGGAATTGACACTTTCGCCTATGGCTGTGTTGAGGTGATCATCCATCGAGAGAAGTGGCATGGCCAGCGGTGCCTGACGCTCTTGCGTCATGTTTTAGACAATTGTGTGACCTTGGAAACCGCAATCTTCCTGTCGACCAAGCATCTCGAGCCTTGAGACTGTCTTTCTGCCACCAATTTGCAAGACCGGCTATTGAGATGCCGAGTACCGGTGGGTGTTGAGAGAAAGAAGACCTGCACAGAAGACACGATCCCTTGAGCCGAAGGCCGGTGGCACAAAGCCCGTACGAAGCCTGTACGAAGCCCGTTCGCAGTCGGAACGAACAGAAGACTCGACCCCCAGAGTCAAACTAGAGATCGAATGTTGAGTAAGGCAATCCAAACACATAACTCTCTCCGAAACACTAGAAGAGTGCGATCAGTGTAGATCGTAGAATTCGTTCCTTTGAGAACAAGGGGCATTCCTGTACGTCACACTGGATGTTGCTCGGAGGATGCAAGGTTCCGTCCAGCCATTAGTTTGGCGTGAGCCACGTTGTTTGGATCACCGCCGTGGCGGTGTGATGATATGTCGTGATTGACAGGCGGAAGGACCCCACACACATCAAGCATTGGAGTGCAAGTTACTCAGTCACTTTCTCAGAACTTCTTCCTGCAGTCTTTTGGCATCAGCCAAACTTTTCTCTTCTCTTCTTCACCCTCTTAATTTCAACGCTTTGACTCGTCATGAAGATTGAATGGGCGTCCAACGTACGCTGGATCTCGACTTGTTCCGCGCCTCTCTGACGGCACCTACTAGTTTCGTAGCGATGGAAGTAGACGGCGCCCGCCGCCCTCGACGATGCATGGGTGGCTGGCCAAGATGCGAGGCACGCTGCTGGGCGACGAGGACCTCCGATCTAAGGTGGGTATGGGCCCGCTAGTAACCATGTGTCTGACGTCGCGTACTACGTAGGGCATGCGGGAGATGAGAGACGCCAAGAGTTTCAAGCAGAACAAGAGCAAGAAGATTCCTCAACGCAAGGCATCGCGCGACAAGGAACCTTCTGCTCTGTTCGGTTCTCTCCACCCCAAACCCAAGCCTCGACCCACTGCTGGACAGACGAGGAAGCCATCTGGTAGGAGCGCCGACACGCGATCTCCCCGCCCTCGGCAACCGGCACCGCCGCCCCGTAGATTAACCCAGCCAGCAACCACGAGGCGCAGGCCATCACAGCAGCCGGCACCTCGTAGAAGGCACACAACGCGATGAGCGCGTCAAGCAGATTTCATCTGATACACGTGTTGTCCGCCTTTCCACCCATTCCTTTTCTGGACTTGACTCAATTATGTATCTGTAGAAACGATTTGTAATGTTTTCGAATTTGTATAGTTGGACGAATAATATTCTTTATGACTGTAGTTGTGTCCTGTCCATGTTCCAATCAGCGCCCAAGAAGCAGTTCATCATGATGTTGGACCGTCATCCTGTGGAACAGCCAGTAGGCTTTTCTTTTTCTTTTTATTCCGCTTTCGGCGTTTCTTTTTGGAGGCGGCAGGATCTCGGTTGTCTACATCAGATTCATCGCTTTGAGGAGGGGGGCCATTAAGGTTCAATATCGGACCAGTGATGGATATCGACGGATGGCCCGGTGCAGTGGCTGCAGTCAGGGACGGTCTCTCAATGGTCGGAGAACTTGATGGTCCCTCTGTATGGGATAAAGAACAGTTAGGCACTCTGTGGTGATTGTCACGTACTTGTCTTGTGGTCGGTGCCAGCAGGAGATCTGTTGGGGGCGACAGTGGTACTTGGGATTGGGAGAGGCACGACGAGTTTAGAAACAGGCACCCCGGCGAGGGCTATGTTCTCCTCCGTATTGCTTTTCTCCTCCTTCTTCCGTTTCTTCTTCTTCTTGGCTGTCATTATTGTCTCGGCCCGTTCCGATATCTCCTCCCTCCTCTCTTCGACAGAGGGTTTTTCTTCAAGAACCATAGCAGATTTTGTTTCGTCCTTCTGAGGCACCGCTGTGATTTTCTTTTTCTTCTTGCCATTGCCGGCAAAAGGATCTATTCGCGCCTTCTTCACGCCGGACGAGCCTCGGACATCCTCCAGATCCTCTTTGAGCGCTTCCGCCTCTTCCTCTTCTCGTGCACGTTTCTTCCCCTTGTCCGTGAGACGAGATTTCAGACGATCTGCCGTTCGAGAGGAGTTGGCGAGTTCCGGTAATGGCGCACCAACACCGAGCCTGAGGGTATGGAGCTTGAGGCATCGAAATTCGGCGACAAATTACCTCGGTGGTCGGCGCATGTACTCCTTGAGTTCTGACTCCAAGGTGCTACTGGAGGATTTCCCATGCTTAGCCGAAGGTTTTATCCAAGACGCAACCAGGTTGTCGGTGAAGGACATGGAGAGATCTATTTGAGCCTGAAGCGTTTCATTGTCGATGTCTTCGTCTATAACCGACATGGGCTGGAAGGTGGGAAGAGAATCCTCTAGAAACGCGAGATTTTGTTCGACACAGAGCAACGACTCGGATGATCTGAGAGCGGTTCAATGAACTTTGATGATCGGCTCGGCAAATGTCTGAAGCTAACTTCGACTCGGTCACTGTATTCATATTCGACCATACCATCTTTGTGCACACCTAGCTACTTGGGTCGATACCAACGCAATGTCTGACGAGGAAACTCCTCTGGGACGCCAAATTCTTCCCGTGGCCGATCTGCCTGAGAATTTCGAGGGGGAGCCCGAGGATGGGATGCAGTATCTATTCACCGTCCGGTGCGCTTGAAGTCGCAAGCGCATTTGCAATCTCTGACACTGCTTCAGAAGAAATGCACGTAGTCTCCCTCATATTACGCGCGCGCCGAACCCGTATGAAATCCCCGAACGGCCTCGTCCATCGAGTGATGTCTTGCCTGCAGTCAACCCAGAACTACCCAGCACAGAATGGCGTGAAGTATTCGAAACTCGCTTCAGAAACTTTAGAAAAGTACGCGTCTTTCGTGCTGTTCTTCCTGTAGATGTTCTCAGTGACTGGACAGAATATTCACCAGCCGACACTGGACGTCCAGCTGCCCCGACGACGCGACGTCAAGTCCATGCCCGAACTGAAAGATCGAGACGCTTGGTGGGCATTCTTGTCTGGAAGACCACCTGAGGATTGGCAGATGCCAAGGAAGAAAACTATGCAGCGAGGGATGCGCGCCTTTGCGGATGAGACAGTCGATCCAGAGACGCATTTACCTGCTCTCGGCGATCAAGAAATCTCTGGCGTTACCAGAAACCCCCCTCCTACTCCATTGCTTGAACCACGCGAGCCTACGCCTGCATTGCTTCACTCGATTGACGAGGTATCTCAAACTTCACACTGCAGGTGCTAGAACTCACTGTTTCTCTGAAGCGAATGGCGCTGCATCTGATCATGTATTTCACACATTGGACCAACTTGCATCTACAACCTGAGAAGAATATTCGCGTTACTCAGACGCACGCTCGTTGGGTCTTCGCTCTGCTGTCGATCGTTGACGACTACGTATCAGCAGATGATATGCATTTGCTTCGAAACCTGGCCCGAGCACAAATCTCGCTACTCCAACATCTTGCACAAGCGAAGACACCGCCTGTCTCGCCAAACGACATAAACGCACCTTCTTGTTGGATGATCATCTGTGCTGTGGTCGGAGTCTGGGGCCAGCGCGATTTATGGCTGGATGCTGAGGGCACTCTGTCGAGTACACAGAATAGCAAATAGTTTGCCTTTTGTTGCCCCCGTCACAAGCGCGTGGCCTAATGTGCCTGGGCCCTGGAGTTGACTTATGTTTGCCTGCTGTCATACTATGTTACATTCTCCGTGACTGTGATACGTACAAATTTACCAGTGCGCTCATCTCCTCCTCGAGAAGTCCTTCGCTCTTTGCCACCACACTCTTTCCAAGTCAACCCAACAACATGATCTTCCCGTCGCTCTCACTCCTCCTCTTCGCCACCGCTGCCTCCGCAATCAGCTGCAGCTTCCCCGGTACCGGCCACAATTGGACCAATGTCGACTCGCAAACGATTCGCTGGTCATCGGTTGATACGGACCCCCAGAACTTCACTGCTGTTCTCGTCAACCAGGTTAACCTTTTGTACCTGGCCACCTTATGCATGAGTTGACTTGACATCGTTCAGAACACTGCGTTGATGCCCGGAGGTCCGCAGATTCTCAAGGCCCTCGTCGTCACTTCCCTGGGAAACGTACGTCTTCGGTCTCGCCATTCTCTTGAGTATTCAACTGAGGATACTCGTCTGACCAGACTCAAGTCTCTCCTCCGTCCGAGGGGTGGCCCGCTCCTGGTGCCGGCTACCGTGTGAACCTGTGCAAGAGCTCCGAAGAACTCAACACCATCCTCGCTCAGTCCACCGAATTCTCAATTGTGTCGCCCCCTGTGTCCTCCAGCGCGACTCCCACATTTGTGAAGTGCGTGTTCATCATCGGCATTGCGCCCCACCCCTGACCCCCTGCTCAGCACTGCTACGGCTGCCGCAGCACCCGTCGTCACCTCTACCACTGACTCGGCAACTCTTTCGAGCGCTTCGGCTACGCCTGCTGCGACCAGTGGCGGCTTCACCATCGCCGCTGCACGCTCGGGAGTTCTCGGCTTTGCGGTCATCATCGGCGCCCTGCTGACTCAGCTCTAAACCCACATGCACTGTGACCCTTTCTCGTAATTCAAGATCTCATTTTCCGGACGTCGCGTATTTTTAGGATACTTTTGTCGATGTCCACATGGTCTTCGAGAGCATCTGTACTGTTTTGGATGTCGCATCTTATCTATATATCTATCGTCCAGAATGTACAGATGTGTTTTTATCAGTTCTGTGATTGGTAATCGCGACCACTATGTCCAATTCTTATGCGCATCTCTTGCCTCCGAGCTGGAAGCCACAAGTAACGGCTTGGCTGGCCGAAGATACCCCTTCCTTCGATTATGGAGGTTACGTGGTCGGCGAGGCCATTCGCGAGGCACACCTCTTTGGCAAAGGCAAGGTTCCGGCCGTGCTAGCAGGATCGCCGTTCTTCACTGAGGTCTTTGAGCAACTGGGATGCCAGTGCGTGCTTCCAGCCCTCAATCTCCTATTTCCGATCTCATTAAGATGTATGCAGGGTCGTCTGGCATATCGAAGAGGGAGAGACGTTCGAGCCTGTGAAGCACGTCGCGACAGTCACCGGGAAAGCTCGTCATCTGCTTCTGGGAGAACGCGTCGCTCTCAACATGTTGGCTCGGTGCAGCGGGATTGCCACGAAGTAGAGATCCGGGCTGGCATGCTTGACTCGGAGATGGCTCATTGAGATCATCTAGATCGAAGCGAATTAAGGACCTTGCTCGCGGGTATGGATTCAAGGGAATCGTTGCTGGAACCAGAAAGACTACTCCGGGTAAGCTTTGAAAGAGTGTCCGCGTTTCTCGCTCTGAGTCTCGGGTCAGGCTTCAGACTGGTCGAGAAATACGGGATGCTGGTGGGCGGGATTGACCCTCATCGGCACGATCTGTCCAGTATGATCATGCTCAAAGATAACCACATCTGGTCCTCCGGTGCGCCCTTCCACGCTATTGAAAATTGTTCGATTCTCAGGGTCGGTCTCAGGGTCCATAACGGCTGCTATTCAGCAGGCCCGACATGTCGGTGGCTTCAGCCTCCTGCTCGATGTCGAGGTGCAATCTGAAGCTGAAGCTGACGAAGCCATTGAAGCAGGAGCGGATGTGATCATGCTCGACAATCTCGAGGGCGAGGAACTGTTGAGCGTCGCACGGAGTCTTCGACAGAAATGGGGAGAAAAGAAGAAGTTTCTTTTGGAGACGAGCGGAAATATAAACGAGGCTAATCTTCAAGAACGCGCGCTCAACGGTGTGTTAAACACCCTGTAAAGCCGACAAAATTACTGAAACGTGCTTCAGAACTCGATATCCTGAGCACAAGCGTGGTGCATCAGTCCGTTCAACACATCGACTTCAGCTTGAAGATCCAGAAACCGAAAGCAGCATAGTTAGAAGCCCTTGTACAATCATCGATATTTAAACTAAATTGAACAAAGACAACGCGTTAGCACCCCGAACCCCCTCTCTCTGAGCTGCAGTCCAGCCCGAGACAGCTTCAATGGCCTCGAGATTTTCAACTACACTTTTCCACTTCTGAGTTGATGCCAACGGAGGGAAGAATGGGTGGTCCGTCCCAAACAGCATCCTCTGACTACCCAGTCCGCGGTCCAAGGTGAAATCTGACGCGGTGACGCCCGTTTCGTACCGGGCAGAGCGGGCAATGGCATCGCTGACGAAGCCCAGCTCCTCGGGCCCGTATGCGACAGCGTCAAAGTACAGTTTGCCCAGATACCATCGTGCATCGTGTTTCAGGCGAGATGCTACCACTGGATCGTGGTCGATGCACGACGCAAGGCGGGAGGAGAGCTGAGGTAATGCTCCTCCCGAATGGGCGAGCAACACGCGAAGCGAAGGATAGCGGTCGAATACGCCCGCCAAAATCAGACGCGTTGTTGCCTAGCCGCATGTCAGAGTGAGGTTTCACACTTGCGAGAAAGGGCGTACGATCGTGGTTTCGAATGGGAAGCCAAGAGCCAAGGGAAGTACATGTCCGTTGTCTTTGGGACCCCATGCCGCGTTGTCGACGCCGTAGTGCGGGTGGATGAAGACAACCAGCCCGGCGGCTTCTAATGCGCCCCAGACTGGATCCAACGCCGCGTCGTCCAGTCCGTTTCCGATGCCCCGGGTGCCCATGATGATACCCTTGAGATACGCCAGTTTGGAGATACGCTCGATCGTCTCGAGGAGAGCCTCGGTAGAGATGCCCGACACGAGCGGCAAAAGACCGAATCCGTAGAGCCGTTTGAGCGACGGAGTCAGCTCGGGAGATCCAGAGCAATACTCCTCTAGATCCGCATTCAGGTCGTCTGCCATCTGTTTTGCCTCGGGTGCAGGAAGGAAATCCAGCCATGGATTCGCCGTGCTGGGATAGAACTGCTCAGCTTTGCGTGATGAATATATGACGCGCGCGCAGGGCAATGACGGCCGGACGAGGCTTCCGAGGATGCTTCACTCACCTCACAACAGATAAGTCAATCCCATGCTGGTCCATGAACTTGATCTTCTCCTCCCGGTCCCAATACTGCGGACCGACTGGACGACCGCCGCTAGGCTCGTGCTCCAAGATGAGTAGCCGGTCATCGCGCTTGCCGTCTACCGTGGTCGAGGTAAGAATCCGTGGCACCGCCGACCGCGTTCTCAAAAGGCTGGCATATCGGGGTAAATAGACGTGAGTGTGAACGTCTACGAGCCTAGCAAGGGCCATCTGGCTAACGGGGTGAAGGAGGCCGTATGGATCGTTCTAACCAACATCAGATAATAACAACGCCAAGCAGATCCGTGGACTACTTTCAGTGCAGGTACATCTCTTTCATAAACAGAGTGTAGTGTGGGCATTCAAAACAAGAAAAATACATGAAATGATTTGCAATTATTAGATGCCGCTGAACCACGAGCCACTGGGGCCGGCTCCGTCCTGGTCTTCGTCCCGCCGTCTGTGGTGATGGTGCTGATGCCGGTCGAATCGTGGAGGCTTGGGCTTGGGCTTCGCTTTGACATCCTTCCTGCACACGGGACACGTGCTCGCGCTCTTGAGCCATTGCTCCAGGCATTCCTTGTGAAGCCAATGTCGACATTCACCCAGCTTCATGACGGCGTCTTCCGCCTTGTACTGCAAGCCAAAATGTCAGTCAGCAGCCGACATAGCACGGGACAAGTCTTTACGCACGTCGTCCAAGCAGATGGGACACCGCGGATCGCTATCTGGTGTCGCCCAATCCTTATATGTCGCTGAATCAAGTCCCGCCAAAACATTGTCGGGCGTTCCACGAGGTTTCGCATCGCCAATGATCCGCCCGAGGTTCAGCAAACTCTCGTACGACGCGTCGAAGTCTTCGTCTCGCTGTCACTCGTCAGAATCGCACAGTGAAAACAGTTGTAACAAAAAGACGCACCATGAAATCGCCCATCAATCTGTGTCCTCGCCGATATCGACCCAACGCGGCATGGAATGCATGAGTGTGCCCCCTCAACAGCCTTCGAGGGGCGTCCGGATCGTCGAGGGGTGGCAATCGTTCTTCGCGGATATCTCGTTCACGATTGTCTCGATTGCGGCGGCGATTGATCATGCGCCGAGCATTGGCTGCCAGGATCGCACTATAGTCAAGTGGGTTGATATCTTCGTCTTCGATCGCCGTCGAATCCACATCCAAGCCCAGCCGCGACCCCTCCAGTCTCGCTTGCCTAGCCAGGATGTTGTGCATGTCCGTGGCTGTGTAGAGTCTCGAAGACGACGGCCCAGGCTCAACCCGACTGCGATGCGGCACGGGAATAGGCCGCGTGGAGCGATCATCAGTCCTGCCGGAAGCCGTCCCTCGCGTCGGACCGGCGGTCGTAGTTCTCCTCGAAAACTCGTCATGGCGTTGCATCGTCAGCCGAAACGGGCCGGAGTATGCCGGTGGATCATGTTCCTCCTCCGGTTCTACAGTTCCTCCTCGGAGGTCTCCACCGAAATCGGGCGATGGCAACGACGGCGGCAGCTCTTGGCTCGCCGGACGACCGAACAAAGTCGAGAAAGGTAGCCCATCGTTGCCCCAAACCGGCCTCGAGCTGCTTGGCGGCGGCGACGGGTTGCGTAGTTGTGTCGTCAGATCTTCGAAGGTGCTAGTCGCTCCAATACGGGAAGATAACACATGCCGCCGATCAACTGCGGAAGCAGGCAGTCCTCGAGCAGGCTCACGACGCAAGGTACTAGCGCTGGGAGTGGCCATACCAGCTGTAGCTGTTGGCCGGCGGCGGAAAGTAGGAGGACTGACACCAGCACTGGCCCACGGCCCATCCGACCCGCCAAAGCTCGGCTCGAACTCAGCCGTGGAAAGGTAGAAAGGAGAGTTTCGTCGAACAGTCTCGCGCTCCTCCTCGTTGCTATCCAGCTCGGTATGGACTCTGACACCACGTCCCAGGCGCTCAATGAGCTGCGCTCTAGCTTCTCTTCTCCTCGTTGCCGCGGCAGACATGGCCGCCGCTCGTTCTGCCTCAAGGGCATTGGACGAGCTCACGCGACTCAGTCGACGGTGGAGCGAAGACGAGGCCGCCAATGATGACGACGGTGACGCATGCAGACTCGAACTCGAATGGTGACCACGTGCGTGAGTGTGAGTCGGCTGTGGAGGAGTCATCGCTTCGGAATGCCAGCTGACACGATGTCGCCAGGAATCGCTCGTCTGTGCACTGGGGGGACCCGCACCGGTTCTTCTTCGAGCAGTCCGTGAGCTGCCCTCACGAACAGTTCCATCCCGAATCCACTCATCCAACGTCCAGCTGCGAGTAAGCGAGTCATCTCCTGGCGCCCAACCCGTGGATGGATAGTCCTCGATCATCGAATTTGACAATGCAATATTGCGGTTGAGCAGACTCAAAGTCTCGGGATCCAACCCGTGTTCAGACGCTATACAAGCTCATCAGTATTTCTGACCAGCAAGTAAATATGTTCCGCACCTGCATCTGTTTGTGAAATTTCATCGTGTCCGTTATCCCTTCTCATGCGGTGGATCAGCGTCTCCGGTGATCGAGGCCTAACACCGCTAGCCACAGGCTCGTCCCGGTCCCGGTCCCAAATCCGATCGATACTCCAAGAAAAATCCATATATTCCTCCCTGTTTCTTTGCCGTTCCCGTTCCCTTTCGCGCTCCCTCTCCTGTTCTCTCTCCAGCTCTCGTTCACGCTCTCTTTCGAGCTCTCGTTCCCTCTCTCGTTCCCTCTCGCGTTCACGTTCTCGCTGACGATCACGCTCCCGTTCGCGTGCTCTTGCTCGCTCCAGCACATCCTCCCACGCCCAACCCGATGCCCGAGACTGGAACGTTTCTGCTGTGTTGCTGCTCGCCGTGCTCAGTGGTTCGGCCAAAGAAGCCGGACGTGGGTACAACAGCGAAGGCGGCAACGACGGCAACGATGGATGGGTGCGAAACCTTGATATGTTGGCACTGGTTGTGTTCGTGGCTGTGGTCGCACTCGGTGGTCTGATGCGCCAAGGTGTTGCCACCGGGGGGAGAACAAACGTGTTGTACGCATTGCCACTATTGGAATTGCTTCGAGCTTCGGAAGTATGGGGAGCAAGGTCTTGATGTCGGCCCAAAGGTTCGAAGGTAGCATCCCAGTCGACAGAAGCGGAAGAGGTCGACCATTCCAGCGTCGGTGCTTGTCTCGAACGAGAGATTGGACTGTGTCGTCGGCTGGCGAAGGGCCCTGACTCCGAGAACTCGTACGCGAAATCTTCATCGTCCGACGTAAACAATGGGGGTGACAAGATGGGTGGTTCAAATTGAAGCGCACCCCGTCCAATTCCGTCCAATGCCGAGTCTAGAGCTGAATCGAGCCGCTGTCTGAATTGAATCGTGGGTTCGTGCGGTGACAGCGAGCCGGGCAAAGGGAGATTGAGGTCCAGCCGTGGGGGGCTGCTTGCAGCGACGCGCAGGGGCCCATCTTTGATTCGTCAGAGCCGAAATCCTCCTGTGAAGAAGAGGGAACACACCAGGAATGAGTTCCTCGCCCGCTCGTTCTTCCGCACTCAACTCCAGATCGACTAACGTAAGAGGTGGCAGTGTGGGAGGCGTGTGTCGCGCAGCCAATGGCGCAGGTAGCGGCAATACTGGGGGTGAAGATGAGCGCAACATGCTGATGTGTCTATCAAAGGCGTTGAAGCGGTCCACAGACAGCCTAATGCGGTCTGCAGACGACATGGGCGCTTCTTCCTCGTCCTCGTTGTCATCATCGTGCCCATAGTTCTCCTCTGAGATATCAATTAGCATATCGGGCATCTCGACATCCCCGCTGTCCGGGAACTCGGGTGTGGGGATACGAGGCGGCGGTTCTGGAGTGGCTCGGTGCTCGAGCTCAGATGGAGCGATGCCCAGCTCGAGAGCGACGCTGCTCTCCAAGCCACGCCCAAGACTGACATCTAAAAGAAGATGCCGGCGAGGCACGGGATCCGGAAGCTGGCTGGGAGAGGCTGGCTGGGAACTCATGGTAGAGGATGATGTATGGCTGGACGATGAGGCATGATTGGAATGGTCCTCCGATTCGCTCGCGTTGCTGGAGCTTCGGGGCCGCTTTCGTCTGTTCTGCGCCCCATCGGAGTTCTGCGTCGTGGTGGAGCTCCTCGTGGCTGCAAAACTATTCGTGGAGGAGCTGTTGGGGGCGTCCAGCGCTTCCGACGGGCTGTCCAGGTCCTCCCCAAAGCCGAACTGTGAAAAGGATCGTTTGAATGAGGTGGTGTTGGCAGGGAGAGAGAGTTGCAGCTGTGGGGGCACATCGCGACTCGCCATCGCGAGGGCTGCTTGTAAGGAAGGGTCTCACTGTCACTGAGCCCAGTCACGCCGTCGCTTAGATTAGTGGCCGGGGGAGGTAGATAAGATAAGGAAACCATCAATGTGACGTGATGGGAACATTACCAACTCAGATCATCTCCCTTTTGCCTCCCCCAGTCGTCAGGCGGTTGCGACTCGTTTGCGGCCCACCATGGCCGATTTCAGGTCATACTACACGCTCGTTCTTTTCCTCGTTCTTTCGCTCTCGAGCGTCATGGGTCACCCGTCTCCCCGCCATCTCCACAATGCGCTCCTTGCCAGGGAAATTGCCATGCGCGACAGTGTAACTGGGCCAGCATCCTCCGCCACCACGACATCTACCGATACCCAAACGACGACCACGGCTTCGTCTTCTACCACTTCTTCGTCGAGCTCGAGCTCGAGCTCCTCCAGTACTGTAACATCCTCTTCGTCGTCGTCGAGCACGACTTCCACCACCACTTCGACCAGCTCGACTCTTAGCTCAAGCAGCAGCAGCACCTCAACTACTACCACGACTTCTTCTTCTACCTCCTCTTCCTCTTCGTCGACCACCCTCCCGACCACCTCCACTCTTGTCCGCGCTACCACGAGCTCTTCGTCAACTTCGCTTATAGTGCTATCGTCTCATTCATCCGCACCGTGAGCTATTCGGCATATCTTCTCACGTGCAGATCACTAACAAACGAATAGCCGGCCCTCTAGTACCGTGTTGAACAAGTCAATCGCAGTCGTGGTTATTCCGACCACAGTGGCAGTTGCCCCGCAGGCGACACCTGCTGCCAACGCTGTGACTACTGCTGCTCCGGATGTGCCTACTACCACTGTCACGGCTAATACCCAGGTCAACGCGGCGTCTACAGGGTGAGTCGATGCTCGCGCCCTCCAGTGACGTTTACTCATCCGATGCTTCGTAGCTTCTGGGGAAATAAAGGCGAAGGTGTGCTCGGCTCGCGTCCTTATTGCAATTGAGTGAGCTGATGATTTTGTAGTCGCAGGGACATTCGTCGGCGTAGGACTTGTGGTCGTGCTCGGTTTGTGGTTCGTCGTCGCCCGCAAACGCAGGTCGAAGCGCGATGATATCCGGGACACTTTCTACGACACCAAGGCGCCGGTGGACCCTGTTCCAGGGCGGAACGAGCACAATCACTCCCCCGGACCGAGCATGATCTCGCTCAACAATGACCCGCTTGATGCTCATATGGCGCCGGTCCCCAACTACGGGCACCAGCACCATGATCAGTACCTCGTCGACACGACCGAGGCAAGTTACGGCGCTGCTGCTGCGGCCGGGGAACATGCGTACAATCCTTACCATGGAGAGCAACAGGCATACGGCGCAGATGTTATTGGGTATCCTCCAGGCGCGAGCTACGCAGTTGACCCGGCCGACGCACAGTACAACTACCAACACTACTACAACACTGCTGCTGTACCTGGAGCGGCTGGCGAGTCGGTGCACCAGTCGCATGATGCCGGGTCACAGTCGTATTACTCGGAGGGCAGCGCCTACGACCAGCAGTACTCTCAGCAGCAGCAGTACTCGCAGCAGCAGCAGTACTCGCAGCAACAGCAGCAGTACTCGCAGCCAGCAGCGTCGAATCCGTTCAATGGACAGCAGGACTATCTCTATCCCTCCGAGAACACACACGATGGCGCGTACAGCGTGACACCGGACAACTTCCGCCCGTCGCTCTCGCCCCATCCATACTCTCACCCGGCACACACAACTGGTGTGCCACGCGACTCTACTGCAGATTCCTTCTATGGTGGAACGGCCGTCTGAGCCCATTTCGATTACATTTATTGTTGCTAGGACAACGCTTTTACTGACTTCTCATCACATTTACTTACCCTTGTCTCTATGCTTATCCCCATTTGATTCGCTGCATTCTAATGTATGGTGGGTTTTCCAGGAGCATAGATCTTCCAGCAGAGAATATCTCCAAAGTTCCGCGACGGCCTCCATATGTTTTGGAGGCGTCAGCGATTGACATGGAAAGATCTGATTCGACGCTTCATTGCTTAGAATCGAGTCTCATCGTGAACGTGGGTGTAAATGTGAGCCGGGAACAGTCCCAACTGTCCAAAGACAAATTAAGATCATACATAACAAGCAAATGCTCCTCTTTGCCTCCGCTCAGTTGCTCAATCAGATGAAATATGCATCATCATGTCCCGGTGGCTTGCTTGAATGCTGGAGAGAAGCTGGTGGTTAAGATCGTGAGTATCTCTCCAGCTATTAACTCACATGCGAGGCGGGTATCAAAGATATTTCCATCCAACTCCAACAGCTCCACATTCGGATTTCGAGCGCACAACAATCGCGCGTTGCTAGCGCTAGCCCACGCGGCTGTCGCCTTCTGCGGTCGTTTCGCATCAGATTCGGGTCGCAGAGACATCTGAGTCACGCCACTGAACTGCGTGATCCACCTGGCCAGGATATCCAGATTCAAGTCTGGCCGGACCGTGTCCCAGTCTCCGAGCAGGACCAGCCGCCGCACGGCAGACAATGCGTCCGTCATCTCAGCAGGGAACGGATCGAGTAGGTCGGATTCCATGGCGGATGCCCACGCGGCCTTCGGTCCGCAATGCATCTCGAGCTCGATCTGGACTTTGTGCAAGGCCTTCCGCTTGCGCAGATGATCGAGTACCGCCAGGACGGTCTTCCCTGCGTGCCGCATTCCGCCGAACCGCCGGCTAATCAGCATCCGCGGCGAAACACGGAGCGTCTTCAGGCTCTCCACGTTGACCGCCTTCTTCAGGAAATGTGTCACAAAGGGCAGTGGAGCGTGCAGACGCTCCAGCAACGGCATCTTCGGGCACGGCGCCGAGTCGGGGCATGATGATTGGACCCGGAAGCTGTATTCTGTATACCCAAGCGTGAGGCGGCGAAGTTGGCGGCCAATCTTTTCGAGGAAATGGAGGATGTCTGCGCCTGATATTCCGTACAGGTCGATGAAAACGACGCTCGTCGCGACGGGGATAGACGCGGCCAGAGCGCGCAAAACTTGAGACCAGGTGGCACAGTCTAGTCTGATTCCCCTCAGCTGGAAGGTTGTTATTCGAGAGAGCCGCAGGGCAGAGAGCGTCCAAACAAGGAATGGGTTGATCAGTAATATGCTGGACTCGATGCTGAAAGATCTGAGGGCAGTCCATTCCTCCAACAAGTCCACAGAGACAAACTGATTGCTGCCTATCCTCCACCGGTTCGAGTCCCATCCATCAGAGTCCCTGCTCAATACTTTGGAAATCGGACGTAGCAGAATCGGTCGATGGGCAGGTTCGACCTCGAGCTCTTTCCACGCCTCCGCGAAGAACTCCCCGCCCCGCACGGTGAGCTCAGTGCACCCAAGCCGCGCGTTGAGCATCGAGCAAAGCACCACGGTCAAAGCCTCAGCCCAACAGACAAAGTCTCCAGTATCAAGTCGATCAGCATTTTCTTTCTCTGGGATATTGAGGTCGAAAACGATGCGTCGCACAGATTTGAGCTGCTCCACGCATCTATTGAGCCTGTGAAAGTGCCGCAGAATCATAGATATGTCCGGTTCTACGCCAGGTGGCAGAAAACACGATATTTCAAGTTGTTCGACGTCGGAAAGATAGAGCGCCCTTTGCAGCCCGAGAAGCGTGTCCTTCCCCGTCTGAACATCAATCGTTACCGCAGCGAACTTGGCAGGGTCCGCTATGCCGTGCGCAGCGAGGTAGATGGGCAATGCGATGAAATGCAGTCTCCTGCAAAGCGACGCGAGACCGAGCAACGACGCGTCCCTCTCGAGATCGGTGTCCCCTAGAATGAGGAGGAGTATCTCGTCAGGAAGTTCGAGAAACTTGGAAGCCTCTGGCCCTAGCTCCATGCCAATCAGCGCGGCGGCAGCATGCGAGGTCCTGATGAGCAGTGAGCGTGAGAGAGGCACTAGCGGGCATCGATCATCATGTACGCGCGCTGCTAACTCAGGCCTGTCGCTGACAGCGATCATCAGCCATCGATCATGATCGGCTTTCCCCACACTCGTCATCGTCATGTTCAGCTTCACGCTCGCGGCGCGCGTTCCGCTCCGACTCGCACGCGCATACTCCAAGCAGGCCTTTCTCGAGCCTATCTCAGAGCACATCACCTGTCTGTCTCTCAACCGCCCCGAAGCCAAGAATGCTATTTCCACCACACTTCTCAAGGTACCCGAACCATAATCCGATTGCAGGACCGCAACCGGGGTTGATATTGTCTCGCTACAGGAGCTGCGTGAAAGTCTGGACACATTGCGGTCGGACTCCAGGTGCGGGATGAAGTCTTTCTCGAACTCCCACTGGTGACCCCCCAGCCAGTGTGCGCGCGGTGATCCTGCGGTCCTCTGCTCCTGGCTCGTTCTGTGCCGGCGCGGATCTAGTGGAACGGAGATCCATGTCCCCCGCACAGGTTGGCGATTTCCTTAACGGTCTCCGCGCGGCCCTCGGCATGCTCGAGGCACTCCCCATGCCCACCCTCGCTGCCATCGACGGGCCGGCGCTCGGTGGAGGACTGGAGCTGGCGTTGGCTTGCGATATACGCATAGCAGGTACTATGGAAAGCTTCGCTACCGCATGGTCGACATGTCTCACTCGCGTGTAAAGGGCAAACGGTCAGCAAGATCGGGCTGCCAGAGGTCGGATTGGGTATCATCCCAGGCGCGGGAGGGACACAACGTGCAGCGCGTCTGCTGGGGCAAAGCAAGGCTAAGGATCTGATCTTTACTGGCCGCCTGTTGACTGCAGCAGACGCCCTTGAGTTAGGTACGACTGATCGCTGGTGTCTTTCCGGATTTCTCAACGTACGGCAGGGTTGGTTGACCACACTGCTCCGTCCGCCTTTGACAAGGCGGCTTCCCTTGCTGAGCTGATTGCTCGTAATGGTACGCGAGCCTTTCCCTCAACGTTGTATTTCGGTCGCTCATGCAATGAATAGCTCCTCTGGCTGTGCGGGCAGCGAAATTGGCTATCACTCGCTCGGAAGATCTGCCTCTGGAGACCGGTGCTTCGACCTGTTGTCTTGCTTTCCATCCAAGGCTCATCATCAACAGGCCTTGATTTCGAGCGTGCTACCTACAACCTCCTCATTCCTACGCGGGATCGCCTTGAAGCATTGGAGGCATTCAAACAGAAACGACGCCCGGAATTCAGAGGCGAATGAGATCGAGCATTCTTACGTTTCCAGCGGCGGTGCGGTCCCGATGAACAAGTAGGACAGCTGGTTCGGCCATAATTTCTATGTGCCTTACATTCTATATATGGATGGCATCCAAGTACATACAGCTTGCATTTCAGGACTGTAGTCCAAGTGCATTTGGTGCAATTTTTTGAGTGTCATTACAGGTAAAAAATACATTCCATCCGATTCATGACGAGCCTGCCTACGGAACATATGCGACAATGAGGACATTTACTACCAGTTTCTCCAGCAATCCTTCCTGAACGAAGTACACTCTGGATTTCCCAACTTGGGAGCCTTCTGGCGAGCGGTAATCGGTCAGAAGCGTGACCTCGGCAGCAGCGAAAGGGACCGCTCCGCTGGCCTCTACTTTGGCTTGCAAAGCACTGAAGGTGCCACCTGCAGCCCTGGGGGGACGACCCGCGTTGAAGCCGCCTGGAACCGAGGGGAGAC